TGGGACAAAAATATGTACAACTCAGTGAAGGGCACCTTCTGGCCTGTGCTGTCCCAAACCCTGTTGATGATGCTGTCATCCCTTCTATCACTATACCATTTTTAGTGCTTCTTCAGCCACTTGTAACAACAAGCTGTTTTCCTAAGGTGGATGGGGCAATCTGAAGACACAGGAGCCGTAGTTCAGCAACGTGGGCACTCCTGCTGCAGCACTGCCCTTAAACCTAGCCTCTTGTTTCTGACTTTGGCAGAGCAGTTGTGCTCAGCTTTGCTGACACTAGTATTTGGGGAACCGTGCTGTAAACCAGCATACCAATACAAGTTAAAATAACTCTTTCAAAACAACTGTGATCTGAGTTCACAGAAGGTTTTGTCAGCATAACTGAGGGCTGACATGCGTTGTCCCAGGCCTAGGTACAGCAACAAGGGCAGAAAGTATAACCGCAGTTCACTGATAATGAAAATACCATGCACATACAGTGTAGAAACAAAATCAGAAAGGCAGGCAAAAGGTGCACCTAACTGAAACTGGGCATTGCAGAATTTACTTCTGCATTCTCCAATATCTCAGTAGAAGAGAAACATAAAGGAATTGTTTTCTGCATACAGTGGAAAGCAAAAACTCTCAACAGCTAAGGCTGCTGTTGTAGTTTGGCAAGTTTTTTTTTTCTCTGGCAGCACTCTGTTCTCATCAGGGGCTAGCCCAAAGTTTTGCTGGCAAAGCTGAACCAAGTTAACTAGAGGGGCAAGTGCCATGGGGAAATACTGGAGATACTTCATGGTGACAGTTCCCTTTTATAGCTTCTTGTGCAGTATGAGTACAACTGGAGCATCAGTGGCAAGGCAGAAATGCTGGGACATGGCGGAGGGGGATGAAGAGCTCATTATTTACCTACCACCAGACTAAATATTCATTGAACTGCCTCCACAGGAAGTCAGGGTGTTAAACGTCTTTTTGCACTTCTTGGGTTCAGTAGGTTGCTTAACAGAGGCTTGCTTGATGGTTTTGTAGGCAAGATGGGATAACTTGAAGCTGTGAGTGTAGCTGGTGAGAGAACAGCACTGAAATAAAGTCTTGGTGATATACTGGGAGGATGTCTTGAGTAGGGCTTTTGGGTGGGGTGAGAGAAGGTCAGTGTCTGATACTCTTCATTATTTTCACTATTTTGATTTAAACAAGAGAACTGTGCATATTTATTAAACTTGCAAGTTAGGGGGTTGTGAGGAGGACAGGTTTGGGACTCACAGTATTTGGAGAAGCTGAGAAGTACTGGACAAAACCAAAGAAAGAATGCAGAGTTCTACATTTTGGTATGTCTAGTCCATAGCATTAATTGAAGATGGAGGATGGCTGGCTAGATAGCAGCTCTGCAGAGGAGGACTGGAGACCTTTCATGGTTTGTGAGCCAAGCACAAGTGAACATGTTAATGCACTTTATTTACACAAAAAAGACAAACTGGCTGGATCATATGCCTGAGAAGTGTTATTTAATAATCATTTACCTTTATAAAAGCTGATAAAGCCTAGGTTGGAATATGTACCAAATTTTGGACACTGTACTTAAAGAAAAATAGAAAACAAATGGAAGGAGTCCAAAAGTAAGTAAACAAGCAAAGGTCTGGGAAATGTTATCTGTAAGGGAAAGTGAAGCAACTGGCTTTGGTCATTTAATATAACAGAAGACTGTAGGAAAACCAAAGTTTTTAAATATATAGGGATAGATGCAAACAGGAAGAGAATAAATTGTTCTCTGTAATAATTGCAGGTAAGGCAGGGAATAATGAGTATAAATTATAAGAAGGGAAATGTAAGACAGTGTCCTGGTTTCAGCTGGGATAGAGTTTTTTTATTCCTAGTGGCTGGTACAATGCTGTGTCCCTTCAGGAAGGTTTTTACATAGTAAAGACATCTATGCACTGGGATAATTTCTTTGCAATAATACCACATTTTTTCATGAGAAGTCTTCAAGAACAGGTTGGACGAACTACTGTAAGGAATAGTTCAGGATATTTTATCCAGCCTGAGAGGTCAAAGGCATTAGGTGATTGGAGTTCCTTCATCCCTATGTGATGGTTATAGCTGGTTGTATCTGTTGCTTTAGGTGCCAAATTCTGTGGACACAAATTCTGTGTCAGTGGTAGAAATGCTGCCCCTTTCCTACCTTTTTACTACTGCTTCTGCTCCACCAGCTAAGCTGCTCATTTGCATACACCATTAGAATGAGCCAGAAGAGCTGTTATAGCTGAGAACAGTAGAGCTTTGTCAGTATGGGTCATTTTGAACAGCACTTGGGTTGAGCAAGCCAGAAGGGTACAGGGGTAGGGACAGTTTTGCAGGGATCAGTACCAAGTAGCTGGGAAGGGCAGTGGGAGGAGCTGGAGAAGGAGCATATTTGCGCGTGGGTCTCCTGTAGAGTTTACCCAGAGCCCTACTGCTTGAGATTTCTTCATAGGATCATTATTTTCTTTTCCATTTACTATAATGCAGTTAACAGAATAGCTTGTTCCACAGCTCTGGGCTATATAGTCATTTCAAAGCCTGAAAAATGTGCAAGGCTTAGTTAACTCCTAAAGGATAATGATCTACAATAGACACTCTTCTAACATGTCAGCCCCATCCTAGACTGCTGAGGGAAGCAGCGAAGGATTATGCCCTCTTGACATTTTCAGAGGTCAAGTATGAAGTCTTCTGTCATGTTGCCAGCCCAGATAGCTACAACCCAGTGTTTGTTTCCATAGGACTCATCATGAGAGACTGAAATTGTTCTTTACAAGATTCTTGCTGTGGCAGTTTTGCATTACTTACTATTAAATGTGTATGTATTTGGAAGGAGGGGTTTTCTTTTTCTTTTTTTTTGTTTGTTTTTTATTGCTCAGGGTTTCTTTTCTTCTTGCTTTGCTGTTCTGCAAGCAAGAATTTTCCTGGACTACCTGTCACATCGGCTGAACGCCTGCAGTGATTTTCCTGACCATTTGCTACGGTCAGGGAAATGTCACTTAAAGTTCATTGCTGCCTCTTAACTGATGGAATAGGTAAGCAGGAAAGGGAGAGTAAAGAATTACTGCCATGTCTGCACATTCTGGTGGTAGAGAGCTTTTGAAGACTCAAGATGAGGCCTGCTTCCCTTCTTTCCAGTGTAGATTTTTATACCAATTTATATATTGCATGGCATCTTTGTCCAAGTGTAACTGAACTTTTATTTCACTTTTCTATGATATGCATACAATGAAAGAAATGTGTATTTAAGTTCAAGCACATGCATATTCAGAAGCAGGTCATGCCACTTGAAAAGAATATTTCCCAGTACTATGTATTGTTTGCTCTTCATCGAAGTATGATGGTGAGGCTGCCCAGAAGCTGATGTCTCAGCTAGCCAGTGAAGGTTTTTGTATTATATTTGCAGTTATTGCAAAACCATATCTCTACCCTTACTCTGGTTTATCCCAAAGTGCAGTCAGTGCACTCCCATTTCACAGCTTGCATAAATCTGAACAGGAACTGTTTACCCCATCATTGTAGGGGTCTGTGTACTCACTGTAGTTAGTTTTCAATTATTGTTATTCCGTTCTACAGATTATTCTTCATTTCTGTAGTCTGAATCCCTTCTATGATGCCCTGATGTGTTCAGAATTCCTGGTGTATGGGCTAAATTCTACTTTTTACCCCGTTAGAACTTAGAAGGACAGAACGTATGTCTTGTCTTTGACTATTGCATTTTATTCTCTAGGAAACAGTTTAGGAGTCTACATGTGCAATAGAAATAGTTTCATACATTGCAGTTATGCAAGGGCTTCTTTTTTTTTGTAGTCTTTTGAGATTTCATTATGAAGTTACATTTGAGAAGTATTTAATCATTGGTCTTAAGTGAAAAATAATGTGCAGAGTATGTTTCATAGGGCTTAGATGCAGTACTTTGGAGTTACTATCTGTACAAGTTTAGATTTCTGTCTTCATAAGACTTGCAATTTATTGTTAAAGATGAGGCTTTTTTAATTTAGCTGTTTTAACTTGATGGTAATTTAGAAACTTCACAAGGCAATTGAATGAGTTGAGTGAGTATTTAAGAAATATGGAAAGAAGTTACTATGTTCCCTGCAGCTAGTTCTGAATGCAAACCAAAATGTACCCATTTTAAAAAGCAAGCTACTTGCGGATTCGGGAAGACCATGAGGAGCTACTGACACCATGGTCACCCACTTTCTCCTGTTTTACTGTGGGACGTGAGCTTTGTGTGCTCCAGAAGAGCAGAGAGGCAGAGTGAGAGATTCCTCCAGGGTTAGTACCGTCCTGGACAGCAGAGGATCAGTTTCTCTAAAACATGATCCATTTTGGCTCTGGTTTTATACTGAGTCTGAGGGGGTAAGGAGGTCTGTTATATGGAGAGCTGCTGTTAATTCCTCACGTCTTGGTTTTCTGTCAACAGACAGATGTACTTTCCTGTCTAAGTGTTCCTGTTCTCACTATAGTTCCTCTGACATGGAGCAATATGTATGTCCTGTGGACCTGTAGAATTTGAAACCAGCCCTTGCATGTACACAAAACACAGGTGCAGATTAAGGGAAGACTTGCAGCTTCGTTAGGATTGTCCCCCAATCATCCTTCTAACCATTTCATGTATTTCTTCAATGTTTCACTGCCATTCCCTTACTTAAAGGTCCTGATAATTTTACTCTGTGTTGAGGCTTTTAAAGGCATTTGTTGGAGTACTGTTTCTGACTCAGGTTCTTGGACCCAACTTTGTCAATGGTGGTTAGTTCTACTAGAAGTGTACACATGTTAGTCTCTTCAGCAGCCCACGTAAAGTCCAGGTCAGTTCCTGTAGCTCCTGTGCTGTCAAATGGAGTATGTTAATTGACATTGCTTTATACCAGCTGGAGACCTGGTCCAGTGTGTTGAAAGATGCAAGAGGCAGTTGCTGCTGTGTTTTTAACTTAGATGGCCCGAAAGGATGTGCAGTTCCGTCATTCTCACTAATTCTGTAAATGTTTTCCTCTCAACAGCTCTGAAAAGTCCAGCTGCATTTCATGAACAAAGAAGGAGTTTGGAGCGGGCCAGGGTAAGCTCCAGTATTGTCTTTAATGTTTTGGAGAGGTAAAGAGTAGTATTTTGGGCATCCTGTAGCTATAAATGAGATGCAGAAGGGAATCATTCATGTTTTGGATGTGATACAGCACTATGTAGTCAGGGGTGTATTGGATGGGATGTTCTTTAGCTTGTATGTAATGGTGATTAACCCTGAGTTGTTCTTGAAAACCACTGAATACGATGTCTGGATTTCCCTTGGGAGTCTTATTTCTGAAAGTCACTGATACTATTCTTCTGCACTGTCCATATACTCTACATTTTTATTTTTATGGTGTCTGGTTTTGCCCTTAAATGCTCCTATCATGTGTAGCTCAGTTCCACCTTTGAGGAAACTGTATAGTTTCTCTGTTACCTGCACATGCACTTGTTTATCTAGGCCATCAGACATGGAAAATTTAATGGAGAGGATAACCCCGCCTGAAAAAAAAAATCACACAGACTTCTGGCTGTATGGAAAGAGGAAGCCAGGCGTCACACTTCATGTGGTACCTTTGCTAACTGGGGGGTTTCTTGATGATTTCCTCAGAAAGCCTCTGGGGATAGTTTTACTTTTCTGATTAGCCTGCAGGGGAACAAAACCTGTTATGACTGCTGGGCTAAACTTTGTTTTAAAAGTGAAAGCAACATAAGTTAATAAATTACAGCTGGGATTAAGATCTGTAAAGGAGCGTTAACACTTTAAACAGTGGAAGGATTGGGACAGAGGACTTTGCATTAAGACCAGTGTCCCAAAGGCTTTTCCTTCTTCTTTCTCTTTTTTTTTTTTTTTCCTAAAATCTTCTTATTAAGTTAATATTTTGGTGGGGGCAATTGAGCAAGTATGGTGCAGTTTTCTGATTAATATTTATTTTCTCCGAAGGCCTATCCTGGTGCCCAGTACTTACCAGTCAGTTACCCACTGCTCCCAGATTCCCATTCCTGGGCTCTGTAAAGGGTAATGTGCTCAGCCCAGTCAGGGTCATCAGGAGCAGTGCTCTGTAGCATGTTCTCCAAAGACAGCTAAAAGTAGCTCTGTAAATTAAATGAGTCTTGCTGTAGCATTTAGATACTGCCTGCCAAGGGACTGAATAGGGTCTTTAACTTAACAACTAACATATCTTTAAACAAATAAAAAACTATATGTCCAAACCACAAGTCAGCCACCAGTATATGAAAGTATTTGCTGTGAGCAATGGAACCAGTGCATTTATCTTTAATGTAAAAAGAAATGTCTTGAATTTCACCCTGACAAGTTAGTGGTATTGCATAAAAGGGGAAAAGAGAGCTTCAGCTCTTAAGAAAGTCCTTTACAGTTTCTGTTCTGCAGGCCAGCAGTGCACAGTTTAACTGAAGCGATTACAGTAGAAGGTCATCTTTAGAATAAGCTCATTCTCTGGGTGTTCTGGAACAGAAGATATGCCCCTTCTCTGTTCTGTGTTTGTTTAGATCTCAGCAACAACTAAAGATGCTTTTTTCTCTTCTTTGTGCTGTCCAAGATTACCTCACTCCTGAAATTGGTTCTTGCTTGTCTGTTTTTGCTGCAGACAGAGGACTATCTGAAACGGAAAATCCGGTCCCGTCCGGAGAGATCAGAGCTGGTTAGGATGCACATTCTGGAAGGTATAGCACGTGGTATACAGGAAAACATGAACAATAAATTTTATCATAATTACTTATTAATCAGCTTTCTATTTTGCCTCTGATCCCCAAGTCTTTCTTTCAGTTGAGAGCAGGCAGAAGATCATGCCTGTTGCATGATTTCTTGAGCGGGATTCAACTCTGCTTACATGGAGATTCTTAGAAGAATCTGTTATGTGAACCCAACTTGTGCAGTTTTGTGTAGCTGAGCAACAGTGTAAGAGAATGACCATGGATTGCTCTTCTGTTAAGGGAAGGCACTACAAAATATCCAAGAGGAAGTAAGACAGAATTGATGAAATTAGTAATAAGCACCTCAGTTTCTGAAAGGGGATACTGTGCTGCTGCTGGGTACCACATCTTTGGACCGGAACTGAGTTACATCAGTTTGAGAATGAATTTGTCCTATGCTAGAGTCACAAGGGCTACTATAGTTGTATTTATAACTTAAATACACATAATAACTATCATATCTTTATAGTGCATAGTTGTCTGTTGTTATCTGCAACTATTTTGCTGTAGTTAGCTACTGTTATCTACAGTAACCTTTCTGCATAGAAGTAAAATACAGTTGAAGTGCAATAGGTTGACCATTGCTGAATTGATACCATTTTATTTACTTTCCCCCAAACAGAGACCTCGGCTGAACCCTCCCTGCAGGCTAAGCAGCTGAAGCTAAAGAGAGCCAGACTGGCAGATGACCTCAATGAGAAGATAGCGCAGAGGCCAGGTCCCATGGAGCTGGTGGAGAAGAACATCTTGCCTGTGGAATCAAGCCTGAAGGAAGCCATTATCGGTAAGGCCTGAGGAGGATCTGTGTTGAGGGCATTTCCCACAGCGGCTGTGATTTCCTATCAGTTCTTCTGCCTGTCTAAGAGAGTGCAGCCCCTTGGTTGGTCTTATTTTCCTGCCTCAGAATCACAAGCTTTCAGCCCCAAGGATTCTGAAAAACAGAACTCCCTCCAGCCAGATGGTGCTATGAAGAGATTAAATTATAGGGGGTATAGACGTCCCAGAATAATATGAAAGCAATTGCATACCCATAAGACTTGAAAGGCTGTTGAAGACTGCATTCCATAGATTCTCTCATTAGAGATCCTTCTCTCAGTCTGACATGCAAGCAGCCTTGGTCAGGGAGAACCTACTGACTTACTCAGATCAGGGAGAGGAGACAGAATATAAACAGGTGTGGTGAAACAAAAGATGTCTGTGAACTTAAAAACTTCAGAGGATTCAACCTCTTTAAAAATAAACCAGAACAGATGTAAATCATGCCAGTGCCATTCCAAGGGCTGAAAGGAATGCTGAGGAATAGCCTTCCCACTGCCTCAGCAGTGCTCTTTTCCGTCTCCCCAGACTGAGCAGTCTGTGTGTGTCTGTGGTTATTCATCCCTTTAAACATGCACAGCTACTTTAAAGACAAATGGAACACAACTGTGAGCAAGATGGAATATTCTTCATGAAAAAGGAAAAGCACAGTAATCTGGGAGAGCCTGACTTCACCATTGCACAAGAAGTGGTTGAGGAAGAGAAAGAATGAACTTCTAAATTGGAGCATTAGAGATGTGGCTTCCTTCTGACTGAGCCAAGGACATCTCTCTGGATTTCTGTTGCTTCTGTGTTAAGTGCAAATGATAGTATTTTCATGCTTACCAGGATTAATTTGAGGTAACGTAATCTAAAAAAACACAAATGTACACTCACATGAATTTGTCTACTGGGCATGTAGATAGACAGAAATATTAATAACAGTCAGGGCCATCACTTAATCCGTAGCCTTTGTTGCTTTGCTGGGAAGACTAAAGGACAGTTTGAGATGCTGTCTTGAAGAGGCATTCTGCCTTCCACCACACAGGATGAATATCAAAGAAATCATGACTCAAGCCTTACAGTGCCCATGCCACAGAACTGGGTTTGGTCAGAGTTAAGTAGCACTTGTCCTGAGCTTCTCTGGCTAAGAAGCAAGGGAAGTGATTCACCCCAGTCTGCATCATTTTATTCTCCTGGTAGTGGAGATGAATGTAAACACAACTGATTCAGTTTGGGATGTGTTCTGTCATTTTTAGTTGGTGCTTTAAGCGCAGCTCAGACACATCTCTCTCCATGTCTTCATTAATCTTTATGAAACATCTAGTGTCAAGTGAAATAATTCCTTATTCCACTTCAAAGACTACAGTTGATGTTTGTGTTTTTAGTTGGACAGGTGAACTACCCAAAGGTTGCAGACAATTCCTCCTTTGATGAGGACAGCAGTGATGCCCTCTCCCCAGAACAGCCAGCCAGCCATGAGTCCCAGGGGTCTGTCCCATCACCGATGGACTCTCGGATTTGTGAGCCTCTCCCTAGCACCACTGGCACATCACTAGCTCAGGTGAGAATGTGGTGGCTTCCTGCAGTGCCCTGGAGCTTCACAGCTACTGCTGATTTCTGGCAGAGGATCCTAAAAAGTGAGACCAAGGGATCCTTAAAAGGTATAGTCTGTGAGATTTCACAAGGGGTCTTTGCTCTGTGTGGCATTCATGAAGTCCTCTGGTTATTCAGAAGCCCCCATAGTAGTGCAGTGTGGGGAAGGGGAGCAACCATCAGTTGGTGATACAGCCTGTGTGTGACTGATTCTGGCAGGCAAAGCTGGGAGGTACAAGTGTGGAATTTTGATTCATTTTCTCCTCTGAGAAGATGTGCTGCTTCTCAGGGATAACTGGAGCAGTGAGTTGAAGAAGTCAGATTAATGACTTGAAACCTGTGCTGCTTCCCTGGAAGTGGACGTTTCCTGCACTCTCTTTAAACTGTTTCCTTCCTTGTATGTGTATTCACCGTGCCTTCTTCTGTGTCTGCAGGGTACATCCCAATTGCAGATCAGCGCAGACTCCAGTGAAACACTTTTCCTACCTGAACAGCCACCCCCACCTCTGCCACCTCCACCTCTTCTGCCCCCTAGTCTTACCAATGGAGCAGCTCTTACTGCTGCCAAGCCCCCACCAACACTCATTAAGGTACTATTTTGGCTGATTTCTTCGTAATTGTAGTCTGAAGGCTACAATAAGATGGTTACTCTGAAAAAGGTTTGGAGCTGGAAATACTATGTTGACAGATGCAAAGGAGGGAGAGCTGATTTTGTGTGGGCGTCTTCCTCTGACACTGGTTGCAACATATTTAACATTCTGTAAAATGAGTCCTGAATGCAGAATGTTTTGAAACAATCAATCAGGAGTATCTGAGTGAGTCTGCACTGGATGAGCAAGTGATCTGGTGTGCTGGAAAAGGTGACCTGCATTATGGTGCAGTGTAAGCTGCTGCAGGTGCTGTGACCATACTGTTGCCTAAGTTAAAGAGGCAAGGAAAGACGCTGAGGTCAAATCTGGAGAATTTTGAAATGAAAACTCCAGTGTATGTTCTGGTTTACATGGGGTGTTATATTATTTCAGTGTTTCCATTCTTATTTGCTTCCTCCTTTTTTTTCTAAATAGCAAAGCCAGCCCAAGTCTGCTAGTGAGAAGTCTCAGCGCAGTAAAAAAGCCAAGGAGTTGAAGCCAAAAGTCAAGAAGCTTAAATATCATCAGTATATTCCCCCGGACCAAAAGCAGGACAAGGGAGCTCCTCCCATGGATTCATCCTATGCCAAAATACTGCAGCAGCAGCAGCTCTTTCTCCAGCTTCAGATCCTCAACCAGCAGCAGCAGCACTACAACTATCAGACCATCCTGCCAGCCCCACCAAAGTATGGGTCCTAAATGGCAGCACTCTCTTAGGAAGCACTTGCTTTCCAGTACTGTTATTAGAAGCAATGTGTTCTGGGGTGAGGTGTGGTGATTGGGTGTAACACGTTTAAATTTTGTTAGGTTGCAGCAGGCCTCAAAAAGGGCCTGAAGTGAATCGGTTGCCAGAGTAAGGGTCATGGATATAGTCAAAGGCATTGGTGTGGTTTAATGTCTAGGATGACACTAGTGACCCAGATGTTTCTGAACTATGTGATTGTTGACACTAAGGGCCTTCATTGCCTTTGTAGCTTGGTTTTGATGCCTGTGTTTTTTCTTTCCCTGCAGGCCTCCAGGAGAGCAGCAGAGTGGTGCCACTGTCCCTGCTGTACGCAGTCTCTCTGCCACAGTCAGCAGCGCATCTTCGGTATCCTCTGGTTCCAGTGGGCTGATGCGACAAAACAGTAATGCTGCAGTGGGCAAGCCTGGCCCTCTCCCTGCCAACCTAGATGAGATGAAGGTAAATACCTGTGAAGCTGTGTACCCCCTTTTCTGCCGTTGTTGGAGGGCAGTACTGAACAGTGTTGCTGCCCCAGAGCAGGGCTGAAGTGGGCTGACAGGATTTAGTGACAGTAGCTGGTATTGCTACCCTGCAGTCTGTACCTGTGGTGTAGGTTTGTTGGCCTGCAGGAGGCCTTTGTCTCATGGCTCTGGTAACTGTTAAGAGTTGTTCTGGAGTCTATGTTCTCTTAATGTTGCCTCCTTTTTTTTCCCTGATTCAGGTAGCAGAGCTGAAGCAAGAGCTGAAGTTGAGGGCCTTGCCTGTCTCAGGCACAAAGACGGACCTGATTGAGCGTCTCAGAGCTTACCAAGAACAGAACAGTGCAGCTGGCCAAACAACCCCCACTCCCAAGCCCAGCACAGCAGCCATGCTCCCAAAAGCTGCCGAAGTGGTGGTAGCCTTCCCTGCTGCCAGGCTGAGCACAGGGCCAGCCCTGGTCACCACTGGCATTGCACCAGCAGAAGTAGTTGTGGCCACAGTCACTGGTGGTGGTGTGATGAAGTTTGGCAGCACAGGCTCGACTCCTCCTGTTTCTCCAACTCCTTCTGAGCGCTCGCAGATGAGCACAGGGGATGAGAACTCAGCCACCGGAGACACCTTTGGAGAGATGGTGACCTCACCCCTGACCCAGCTCACCTTGCAAGCATCTCCAGTGCAGTTCCTGGTGAAGGAAGAAAGCTCCAAGTCTGCCTCCTGCAGTGTAAATGCAGCACCCAGGTCGGAGCGGTGTAGCACTGGTAACAGCAAAGATGCAGAAGTTAGGGACAAGGACCAGATGCTGCAGGAGAAGGACAAGCAGATCGAGGAACTCACCCGCATGCTGAAGCAGAAGCAGCAGCTGGTTGAGATGCTTAGACTACAGCTAGAGCAGGAGAAGCGCTCTCAGCAGTCACTACCGACCCTAGCGGCTGCAGGAGAAGGAACAGCCCTTGCCTCCAACCCAGCAGCATTTGGCATTCAGGTCAAGAGTGAAAATGGTTTCCTGAGTTGCCAATCTGCAAAGCAATCCAGTGGCCAAACAGACCAGTTCAGCCCTGCACCAACTGCTAGCCAAATGGACACTTCGAATCCAAGCCCAGTGCCAAAGAAAGCCGTGATGGTGAAGCAGGAGGTGCCAGCCGCGGAAGCAGAGCCACCGTGCCAGTCCCACAGCCCTCGGCTTTTCCTTGGCCAGCAAGGGAGCTCCCTGAGCGACCTCATCAAGGGCAGTCCGCCCCCCACCCTCATCACTGACTCCACAGGGACCCACATCGTCCTCACCGTGACCAAGCAGAGCACCGAGAGGCAGGGCCTCTCGCCACATGGGAAGGCAGGGAGTAGCTGCCCGACCTTGCAGGTGGGCAAGGGTTAGATCATATCCCTGCTGCAGGCAGTTGGGTTTGTCTCTCCCTCTTCCTGATCCTGGTCAAGTCAAGCATATGGTGACTTAATATGGTGGAAATTCAGTGCAGTAAATACTAAAATGGCTGAGTTGCCCACTACGAGGGCTGGTAGATTATGGCTTTGTGAAACAAAGCAGTGTAAGCAGATCTTCAGCAGAAAGCCTGGAATTTGACAGTGATGAACTGTGTACAGCAATGCAGGACTGACTGTGTGCTTCACAGGCTGTTCAGCATTCTTCCAAACGCAAACTCTTCTGCCTTTTATCAGGCAGGATCTCCAGCTTGGAGGACAAGGGTTTGCTGCCACATTTCACTAGTGGCAGAACAACTATGCCTGTGATAGTAAAAAAATCAGAGTGTGTTTCACCTCTTGTCCTTTACTGGAGAGCATAGTCAGAATGATAGATAGGTCACCTGATCTACTGAAAGCTGAAATCAGACCCTGGGAGCAGTCTGTTTGCTTTTTGACTGCTCTTTGCTTTAATGCATGTCAGTATTTCAGTGTTAACGGAGTCTTTCATCAGAGATGATCTACTATTCCCTGGCTGGCATGAGCTCAGCACTTAGCAGAATTGTTCCGAGCATTTCTTCCAGGAAGGAATAAATATGCTTAGGTTTTATGGCATAAGTCAACCCCCAGCATCTTTCATGGCAGAGATGATTTTGATTCTGTGCTGCCTTCTTGCATCTTCTGCAGAGCAAGTGGCAGTGTCTGCCACCAGGGACAGGCACTAAGCATTTGCTGTGTAGCAGGCAGCTGTCTAAATACCAGCATTCGGTGTCACTCTTGATACCCTGGGGTATCTCACCTGAACTCCAGCCGCTCCTCCAGAAGGGCCCAGGTCCTGTGTCAGGTCTGCTAGCCCTCGAGGGATGTCATGGATAGCCCAGGGATTTAGACTGGTACCACTTCCTCTTCTGGGACTCTGAATCCCATCCCAGTCTGATTTCTCTGCTTGGTGAAGCAGAACGAATCACTGAATTCCCTAAAGAATAGTGAGTGGGGGAAAAACAAACTTCATAAATCCTTTGAGAAACACAAGCCTTGTTCCATGTTGTGTCTGGGGAATGGATACCCTTCTCATGGATACCCTTTTCTTTCCAGAAAGTACAATCATCGCCCGCTAAAACTTCCAGCCAACCACAGTGTCAGCTACCTGCAAGCACCCCTCAGCAGCCCACGCAGCAGCAGAAGCAGCCGCAGCAGCCCAGAGGACTAAACCAGTCTGTCAGAAAGGTAGCTCACTCCTTGCTCCCTTTTCTTCCTTGTTTTTCTTTGCCTGCTGCCAGGGTTTGTAGCAGTGCCAGGAAGGGAACACGTGCACAATCCTGGTCAGATACCATCATCGCAGCAAGTGAGATCTCACAGCAGCTTCTGCCACAGCTTGCAGCTGCATGAGATGTTGGGTTTTGAGTTTGAACATGGCAGCAGAAAGGGTGTCTGGCACAGCCTCTCCATTCCCCCCTCCTCCTCCTGAAATAGCTGTAAGGGAGATTGCTCCTCAGACACGAGGTTTCAGGAGCACTGAGTGTCCATGGGGATGCTTGGATGAGTTGTGGAGGCTTTACAGCGAAGAGCTTTGGACTAAACCATGACAATTTCCTAGCTTCTGCCTTTTGGTCTTACATTTGGGCAGAATACCAGCGGGTGTTTTAAATAAGCATTGTCTATCAGTTAAAAACGGTGAGAGGCCAGAACTGGTTCATAGTGGTGTTCCTGCTTCTTGAAGGACTGCTACTGAACTGAAAAGGTGGCTACATAGAGGGTGGTGTGGGCAGTATGTCTGCTGCTGAAGGTGGCATCTGAGCTCTGACAGGGATGAAAGGATGGGACCTATTACTCTCTGGTACTGATGAACATGCTGTGGTTTCCATTCCTGTATGTACCTTGAGCACATCTGTTAATCATCTCTTTGTGACTCAGGAAAGAGAGCACTTCTGGCTTTATCCCTTCTCAGGGGATAGTTGTGCATCTCCTCCCTTTCTAGCCGATTTTTAGCTGTCTCTAACATGTAATCAAAATACAGAAATATTATGAAGAGTTTTTAGAGCTTGTTAGGATCACTTCTGTGTGAGATCTTGGAAAATATATGACAACTAAAACAGGAGAAGTTTAGATTGGATATAAGGAAGAAGTTCTTTACTGTGAGGGTGGTGAGGCACTGGAACAGGTTGCCCAAAGACATGATAAATGCTCCATCCCTGGCAGTGTTCAAGGCCAGGTTGGACAGAGCCTTGGGTGACATGGTCTACTGTGAGGTGTCCCTGCCCATGGCAGGGGGGTTGGAACTAGATGATCTTAAGGTCCTTTCCAACCCAAACCATTCTATGATTCTATGACAGGAGTAGTTTCTAGTGTGGTCAGAGTGGGATACCCACTTTGCAAAGGGCCAGTGCCTTGGTTTGCTTTGAGACCTTTGAGGAGATGCAAAAGTGATCAGTGGCACTCTCCTAATCCTTTTGCCTCCCTGTAGGGTCAGAAGGTAGGTCTGCAGGTTGTCACAGGGCAGCCGTCTCACACCATATTCATACTGTCTTTCTCAGCACCTCCAAAGCAACAGCCCTTCTTCCCCAGTGGTTTCCACAAACGGTCCCTGAAAACTGGTGCTCCTGGCAAAGGAGTGTGTGTGGAAAAAGGGTACCCTCCCAGCACATTCCAGGGGCCTGTGGCACAACACCAGATTCCAGCCCCTCTCAGGAAGAGAGCAGACCCCAGAGCAACTCTACCAGCCAGGGCCTGCGGTCACTCCTCTACCTGCAGGTCACAGAACAGATGATCAGCTTTCCAGGGAAAACAGGAGGGGGAAGAGCATCAACACGTATGAGTATTGGAACTGGCATTCATCTAATACCTGGGGATCACTGCTCCAGGGAGCAAGCTTCGCTGTGGATCACACATAGCTGCTGTAGAGGCAAAGACCTGATCCCTGTTTTAACTTTTCTTATGGGCAGTTGTGTGCTGATTCATCTGGTAAAGCTGAGTCATGAGCACCACTTCCTGCAACACTTGGGGTTTCCTTTGGAGGTCCCTGGTGCTGCTGAGTGCTCTGGGGCCCTCCACCCACCATCAGGCTCTGAAACTTGGCTGCTAGTGAAGCTGGCTTGTGTCCCCAAAGCAGGCACTGCAGGAAGAGGTGGGTAAAAGAGGAGTCCTGGATATATTGTGCAGAGTAGGCTGAACACAAAAAGGGAAGTGCCCTCTCTCTCCAAAGTGCTAGAGGAATTCCCCACTTGGACAGATGAGGCTTTCCCCATCCAGGAGCAGCCCCGTGGCGGTATGTGGCATTGTGTTAGCGTTAGAAACGTCAGCAAAAGATTTCCAGCTGTGAGTTGGAGGGGAAATCTGTCTTCCACCCCTGCAGCCATAGTGCATAGAGTACACAGAAGAAGCCACGCTGCTTGGAGCAGAGCAGAGCAGTGCAGACCTCTTGGCAGCACTCACCAAGAGAAAGGATGATAGTCTCTCAAAGCAGCTGTGAGGCAGGAGTTGGTGCGGTCTTTCCCCTGATCTCTCCCTCTGCTTTCTTTCTAAACAGCCCTCATCACAGCCTGGCTCTCCTGCTGCCCTTTCTCCATCCCAGATGGACCTGGAGCAGCAACAGCACGCATCGCTTTTTGGAACTTCTCCATCTCCTCTCTCTGTTCCCTCGGTCCCAATGAAAGAGCCACCAGGCTATGAGGAGGCCATGAAACAACAGCCAAAGGCCCAGGTGAGAGCAGTTCTTCTCCTTGGTTTCCTTGGAGAGCAGGTGAAACATTGCTGTTGTAAATCTGCTTAGATTCCTGATCTGGGCCAGTGACAGAGAATGGAGACACAACTGCAGCTTCCTAGCTGAGTTCCTTCTGAAGGATTTGAGGCAGACCCTAAATCATAGATAGAGTTCCCCAGCCACTCACTGTCTGCTGAGTGGTAGTACAGCAGATGCTGACTTTATCTTCCCATCCAGAAACAGCCTGGGGCTACAGAGGATTATGGTGTGCCTCCATGTGCTGGTTCTTGTTAGCTAACAGACCCATCTCGGGGTGAGGGAGGAGAGCCAGCAGCTGAGGGTGTTGCAGAAGGTGGAAGCTCCCCGGTAAATAGGAAGCTAACCCTGCACTCGCTCTCCCCAGGAGAACGGCTGTTCCAGCCAGCAGATGGATGACCTGTTTGACATTCTCATTGAAAGTGGAGGTAAGGAGGCAAAGCCAGCATTTCCCAGAGACTGGGTTTGAGCCTGGGAATTATAGAGCACTGAGGGGAGAGTCTGTCATGGCCTAGGTCTTTGCTCTTGCGTCCCTGCCAGCGCCTTCAGCATTGGCAGTCAGCAAGGCTCTGAGGGAGATGTCAGTCAGGCACTGGTACGATACAAAGGTGCTCAGTGGCTCTTCTACATCAGATCTGGGCACATCTCTTCTGCGATACTGGACAGAGCTTGAATTCCCTGAAGGCAGGCTGAAAACTCCCCATAGCAAGCCAAGCTTGGGTACAGGAGTTTCCTTACTGCAGTTGGTGGTCAGTGATGACTCAGTCTGGGAGGTCCCTGTTTCAGTGGTCCGTGGAAAGGAAAGAAGGGAGGGAGGCACTGATCCTTCTGGTGTTTGGCCAAGCTTTTCCTCACCCCAGCCTGCCTGTTGTTTGTTTCCTGTACAGAGATTTCCGCTGACTTCAAGGATCAGTCATCCCCCGCTGGGAAAGACCCACCGGTGGCCCCAGCCTGCTCCCCACCGCCCAGCAGCCACCATTCCTCAGAGCTGGCGGTGCCAGTGTCCCTGGGGCAGCCGGTGCCCGTGGGCCGGCTGGAGGACTTCCTGGAGAGCAGCACCGGCCTCCCGCTGCTGACGGCAGGCCATGATGGGCCGGAGCCCCTGTCCTTGATTGATGACCTCCACAGTGAGATGCTGAGCAGCTCGGCCATCCTGGACCATCCGCCTTCACCTATGGACACCTCAGAATTGCACTTTGCTCACGAGCCATCTGGGGGCATAGCCCTGGACCTGGCTGAGGCTAATTTGGACAGCATGGACTGGCTGGAGTTGCCAGGGGGGCCCGTCATGAGCCTGGCTCCCCTTAGCACTGCAGCTCCCAGTCTCTTTTCCACAGACTTCCTTGATGGACATGATCTGCAGCTGCACTGGGATTCTTGCCTGTAACTCTGTGAGCAGAGACTGAAGGGAATGGGAGTGGGAGGGCAGGGGCATGCAGGGGGAAGAGGCCAGTCAACCAAAAAGAAAAAAAAGAGATGAGCTCCAAGTATTTGTACTCCTCCCCCAACAGTGTCCTTCCTGCACAGAGCCGGCAATGGTGGCAAAGGCAAATCTGCTGCTCAAGTCACAGCCAGACCAGAGTAGGGACAGCGGCTGCTGGGGGCAGAAGAGGCTGTAGGAGCTGTGGGGCTGGTGGCCTCCTACCTGCTCTGTGCAGCCTGACCCAACCAGAGTGAGAAGGGAGCCAGCAGCCCCTCTTCCTCCAGGCGGGAGCAGTGGTGGCAGCACATGGAGCACAGTGTTGCTGGGCAAGAGTTCCCTCACACCTTGCAGCGGGACAGGGCATGACCAGACTGAGCTGTTTCCAGAAGCAAGCACCCCTCACCTTGCTGGATGGGCAGATAAAGGGGGTTGTGCTGCCCCTGCACAGTGGGTTTAACAGTTGCAGAAGGGGATTCTACCTCTGGAACAGGACACAAAGGCAGGAGTGCTGGCTGCAGTGGCTGCCCTCTGCACCACTGGCTGGCTGTCAGGCAGGGTCTGATCTGCCATGGGGCTGTGAGGAGCTGGGCAGAACAGGCACCTTTTCCAAACGTAGCCAAAGGGAACCGGGTTCCGCAACAACCTGGTAGTGTCTGAGCTGGTTTCCCAAATACTGCTGAGCTTGGCAGAGGCACACCTGCTTGCTTCACTCGCTTTGGGCTGCAAAGCAGATTTTTAAGGTGCTAAAATCCAGGTCCTTACATATTAAATTTGTCCTTTGCTGCCCCAGACCTCTGGCTGTGCCCAGTCTGCAGGCACCCCGCTACCCCCCAGCTTCCACAGCACTCATGGTGGGGGTTAGGGACAAAAAAGCATCCCAGTATCCTGTTGTGGTGCATGGGGCACAGCTGGCAACGAGCAACATATCATTAGGGGCCATGTGCAATCTCTCCTGCCTTCAGTTGCGCTGTTCCCTCCCCACAGCAGGTGCCCCAGTGGAAAGAGACAGCTGGGGATGTCAGCCCTGATGGGCAAGGAAGGGGAAGTGGTGCTGCAAAAGAGGTGTTGTGTGGCATGAGAGTCCTGGCTCAGTGGTGCAACTGCGAGGGCCCCTTTTGGGGGAGAAGTGGGAGCAGGTAACAGGCAGCTGACCTCTGCTCTTCCTTCCCTCTAGGCCCACAGAGGGGAAAAGGCAAGAGCAAATGGCTCTTTACTGTGAGCTGCTGCCATGGAGGGCCCTGGGCTGGTGCCTCACGGCAGCGGCTGACTGCCGTGAGGGCAGATGAGTACTCCAAAGTGTCCAGAGCCATGGTGATGCTATTCATTGTGCAGGATTTTGCACTGGAAACCCGGACCTCTGGCTCTCTCTCATGCTGTTACACCTGTCACTTTGGAATTCCTGCGTTAGTTAGGAGTAACTCGCTGCCACATTTACCAGGGGAGACAGAGCCTAGCTTTGCCTCAGCAGGCAGCTGTCCCTGCTTGGGCCCTGAGCTGGGCCCAGGCTGGGGGAGCTGGGGAGGGCGAAGCTGGAAGTGGTGGCTATTGAAATCATACAGCCTAAGTTGCTGACCCCACTCAGGCAATGGAAGGATAAACCGCCATCCTTTCCAATGTCTCCCTGAGGATGCTGACTGTCCCCACCTTTCCCTCCTGCGGAGGAGTAGGTGTGAGCAGGCACATGCTGCACCCTTGCACCTTTAGTACCTGGCACTCTTCTCAGGGGGAGGCCTTGCCTGGAGAAACTCCTGCTTTCCTGAGCCCTATTTGCTTGTTAACTGCATGGAGAGCCACTTTCTTAATCATTTGCAGGGGGACCCTGATGGCAGCTTCCTTCCTTTCTGCCCCCTTCTGCTCCCTTCTCTCCCCAGTTGTAAGCAAGGCAGAGCTTCTTATCTGCCTCCCTCAGTGTCTGGGGAACACTGCCTGCTTTCTTTTGTCCAAGCTACAGTGTCATGTCCTAAAGAGAGAATAACTGGGACTGGTGGACACCCCCTTGAGCCCTCTCTGAGCCTTCCCTCAGTTCTCTCCTGGTGTTCCCTGGGAGCAGTAGGTGCATTAGCAATTGCCTCACAGTGCTTTCCCCAGGGCATCTGCCCGGCCCTGGTTCCGGGTGAGCAAAGGAGGTAATCGGTTGCTTAAGGAGGAAAGTAGTGGGAGGACTCTTTCAAATGCTAAGGGAGAAAAGGGAGGCTACTATCTCATGCAAAATCAGCTGCTTCTGTAGCCCACAGTGAGCCGCAGCCACTACCACCACCCAGCTGTGGGGCTGCTTTGTACAAACACTTGCAAAGCTGCAACCAGTAAACAAAGAATGAACTTAACCGAAATGCAGTGAGCTCCTAGAGGTGGAGGGTGCATGCCCAGCCTGACCCTGGCCTGTGGCAGAGGTGCCGGTGCCTGTCACTGATGTAGCCCTTCCCAGGGTTGCTGGGGCCAGGCTGAGCTCCTGGCTGTTCACACTCGCCTTCACCCACCCACTGTCATTTGTGAAACGCTGTAGGGATTTAATGGCACCAGTTTAATTACTTGAAATTGGCTGATGGGTTGAAGAGCCCCCAGGGAACCCAGATGACACAGAAGCAGCCCGACCCTCACCTCCTGAGGATCCCAGCCGACCTGCCAGAGCCCCTCTGCACAAGGGGCTTCTGCCAGGGGAGCGAGCGCTGACCCTGTGCCCCGGGGCAGAGGGGCAAACGGTACCTCATCCCAGGAAAGATTAGAAAGCCTTTTCCCCAAGCAGTGCCCAGCGCAGGCCAGCCCAGTTCTCTGCTTTCTTACTATTATTTGTTTGAATAATAGTTCAATAGTTCTTTGTTGGAAGAGGTGTTCCCCCGGACATACGTTTTTGCACCCACTGGGAAAGAAAACCCACAAAGTCTGATGTTCTGCCTCTACCTTGAATGTAATCCTGAATCTTTCTGCTGTAACCACTACTTGTTTGTAACGTGTATTTGAGTAGCGCGCGCTCTCCCTTCCACTATGCAGCACGCGGCGAGGGGTGGTCGGCACCGCTGGAGACGGGTGGTGCTGGGGCATCAGATCCAGAGCGAGTGTTCAACTGGAAACGGCTAAAAGTGACAAGTTAATGGGGGAGAGAATGGATCTTTAAATTGAATTATTTTTTCAGTTACAGATATTTGAAAAAAAAAAAAAATCCATTTTATTAAAAAAATTCCAAACAGCCACGTGCTCAGAGGTGTCGCTGCTCTGCCTGGGGGGAGGACACAACTTGGGGCCTCTCCGCCTTTTCCAGCTAAGGGTGGATGAACTCTCTGGGCCTTTCTCAGACCTGAAGAAGAAGATGCTTGAGTGATGGTGCCTCATCCCTTCTGAGCTGCAGGGAGATTCCCCCTGTGTATGGAAATTACCCACCCTGCAACTAGAAGTAGGTCTGATGGTAGAAGCATGGGCAGCTGGTACAGCCTCCACCCCAGCCCAGCAGGCTGGTCTGGACCACAGTTGCTGTGGTGGTGACGTGATGCTGCAGCCTTCCTTGGCCAGATGGCAAACTGGAATTACGGAGTCATAGAACGGTTTGGGTTGGAAGGGACTTTAAAGCTCATCCAGTTCCAAACCCCTGCCACGGGCAGGGACACCTTCCACTAGAGCAGGTTGCTCCGAGCCCCGTTCAACCTGGCCTTGAACAGTGCCAGGGATGGAGCAGCCGCAGCTTCTCTGGGCAACCTGTGCCAGCGCCTCAGCACCCCCATAAATGAAGAATTTCTTCCTGTTATCTAATCTAAATCTCCCCTCTTGTCAGTTTAAAGCCATCACCCTTGTCCTGTCACTACATTCTCTTGTAAAAAGCCCTTCTCCAGGTTTCTTGTAGGTCCCTTTAGGCACTGGGAGCTGCTCTAAGGTCTCCCTGGAGCCTTCTCTTCTCCAGGCTGAACAAGCCCAGCTCTCAGTCTGCCTTCACATGAGACGTGTGCTCCAGCCCTCTGAGCATCCAGTATCTGGCCCATTTCTCCAACCTGTCCAGGATCCTCTGGACGGCATCCCTTCCCTCCAGCTTGTCTACTACACCACACAATCACGCTTGGGGTGCACTCAATCCCACTGTCTATGTCACTGATGAAGATGTTGAACAGCACTGCCCCCACTGTCCTGAGGGACACCACTCTTCACTAGTCTCCATTTGGACTCCTCCAGGCAATTCCTTATCTAGTGAGTGGCCCATCCATCGAATCCAATTGCCTTGACTGAAACCACTCATTTTCACATCAATAAACATGCTGCAACTTCCACCTTCCCATAAGCTTCTGCCCACAGTTCTCCCAGGCCCTGTGTCATTACCATCCCACAGTGCAGCCGAGACTCTGTTTTTTGTAGAGAAACTGGCTGTTGTACAGACAATGCTGCTATCCATGCCTGCCCAGCCCTGGTTCCTGCCAGCCCCGCTCCCTTCCCTCTGGGCCCTCCTCCTGCAGTGTCCCTACACCCTCTACTTGTGCTTTTCTGCTGCCCTTCAGGGAGGACGGGTGGCAGAGAGGCCACTGCTGGCAGCACAACTGCTCCTGCCCCAGCTGCTAGTCTGATGCAAGGCTGGTGAGGAGCCCCCCAGAGTGCCAGTGCAGGCTGAATGGAGACCTCAGCTTGATGCTAACGGCAGCCAGCGCAGAAATGGGGTCCTAATTATCAAAGAACAGAAACGAAGAATTAAATCTCATCCTGGCCCTGTCAGAAAACAAAAGCCAGAGCCCAGCACTCTCCCAAGATGCAGTTTATTTACAAACCCACCAAATAAAGTAAGAATCTAGTGTCATTCCATGAGTAGTTTGTGCTCACAGACAAGCGCTTTCAGTAGAAAGTCACAGACTCCATATCCAGAGCCACCACCACAAAGCAGCAATTCTCCACTCCCGACCTGCGTCCCCGCTGCCACCGCAGGGCGAGGAGGACGAGTTACATCTCCCTGAGCCAGCTCCAACCTGAACCTCATCCTGAGCTACAATGGTGCCAAATATACACACATTCCTGGAGTTCATTTACAGCTTTTTGGTTAACAGTAAAAATCACCTAGAGACTAAAATGACAGCAAGAAACACTTGTTTAGGGGAGAGGTGGTTTTTTTGTCTGCTCCCAGAGGAGACACAGCCCATCCCCTAAGGCTGTCACACTGGTAACAGGCCAGTGCCATCAGGCACCTCTTGTCAACACCCCACACACCAGTGCCAGGGAGGTGGGATGAGGGTGATGCCAGTTGTCCCTTCTCAACCCTGGCTGCAGATCAGAGGAACTTGTCCAAGTGCTTCAGGATTTGCCATCCCTCTCCCTAGCAAAGGCAAGCCCTTGGCTGGCAGGGGGAGGATTTGCCATCCCTGCTCCCACACAGCCATGAGTCTTTCACCAGCCCAAATGCACCTGCAACCACAGTGCCACCTGCCTACGGCACCAGCTCTCATGGACCAAAGCCACCCCACAAGGGCTGTGTCTCTTCCCCATGGCTATAAGCCCGTGGGGCAGTGCACAAGGGCCCTGGGCCAGGCCGCTCCCCGGGCACTGGGGGGAGGCAGGGCTGAGGCAAACATGGGATGGGGGGTGTCAGAGATGGGGAAGGCTTGGAGGGAGGGAGAGAGGGGACACTTGTTTTTGTGGCGAGAACACACTTGTCCCTTTGCAGCGTTGCCCTTGACCATCACCTCCCTCAGGTCTGCAGCTCAGCCTCTCGGTGCTGCTGCCATCTGTCCCGGCGGCCTGGCAGCCCTCCGAGGAGGATTCTGTCACGGATACAAGTGGGGGGGTTGGGGAGGGCAGGGGGTGAGATGATGGGGATGGGGGAGAGGAGTGTGCGCCATTGAGAAGGTTCCCCAGGATGGGGCAGGGCGGGCGTCACCCATCTATGTCCCAGCTGAAGAGATGGTGCTTCACGAGCATGTCCTGCACCCCTTCCTTCAGTGGCTTCTTCTCCTTCTCCTGCAGGACAACACAGAGACCCAGGTCAGTGCTCCGCACCCAGAAAAGGGAGGCTGTGTCAGCGGCCTGCTGGCTCTTCCCACCTCCGCACAGCTGAAACAGGGAGAGGCCCTGCGGTTTGGAGAGCACTGGGGAAGGGAGGAGCCTGCATTGCCCCATTTTCCCCTGTCCCCACTGCCAGCATCACAGGCAGAGCCTGCCCTGGCAGGGAAAGCAGCCCCATCCACAGCCTCTGTGCCGGCCCAAGAGGAGGCACAGGATAGGCTGGAGCACAGAGCTGGGAGAGGCAGAAAGTGAAACCCTCGGCTAAAGGAAAGAATGAGAGACGCCACCTACTCACCTCCCTCTTTACCGGCAGCTCCCAGTCCTGAGAGAGGCTGAAGGCGAATTTGCAAAGGACTCTGCAATGGGAAGAGAGTGATAGTAACACACGCACCCACCCCAGATCACACCCCCAGCCTGGTCCTACAACTGCTGCCCTCAGGCATGTTTGTTGGTGTTGAAAAGGCATCACCAGCCCTTCATTCCGTTTCCCCCTCCTCTTTGGGCTTCACATCCTGTCAGGCCCAGGCTGGGAGGAGAAGCTGGAAAATGTGACTCAAGTGCAACCCCTACAGAGCCTGATGCAGCAGTGCAGGGAGGCACGGGCAGGCTCGGATGCTGCTACACTGACTGCACTCAGCTGGAAAAAGGGGTGTCAGGTTCCTCTCCAGAAAGCAGACCCCTGCCAGTAGCACTTACGAGTTCATGCACTCCCCCTCTCTCTCTCGCTGGCCCCAGCTCTAAGCAGGGGTTGCAGGCACAGCCTCAACCCTGTCCTTAGGACAGGGATGCAGAGCTCAGACCTCCTGGCAACAAGCACATCAGCCCTTCCAGCTCAGGGGAAATCCTGCGTGGGGGTCTCCTCTGACTCCTGCAGCAGTGGTGGAGCCGAGGCTCTCCACAGGAAGCTGGCTGAGAGCAATGCAGTATCAGCCTCTGCTCTAGCTCCACACAAACCCAAGCCCAGCCACGAACCAATCCCACTCGACCCTTTGGCTGTGCTGAAGTAGCACTGTCCCCATGCTGCGAGAAGGCAGCCGCAGGATGTCCCTGACAGTAGAGGTGGAGGGGACTGGTCCCATTCAGCAGCAGCACAGGGAGGACACAGCACCCTGAGGCGTGTGCATCCTGGCTACAGATGCTTCCACTGGGGCCAGAGGGTGGTGCGGACAAGAGACAGCTCCCGCAGGATGGCAGCAGTAACAGGGCTGGAATGGTGGGTGCTTTGCAGCTCCCTGGGACTGGATGTGGCTCCGCAGACGCAGGAGGGCCAGGAGCATGCCATGAGATGTCTGCCCTGGGCTCCACGTGATGTGCTTTATGCAAGCTCAGGCACTAAAGCCGCAGTCAGCCCCTGACATCACTCCCTCGCTTAATCAGGGGTCAGCCAGTGACTTGACACCTTCCTGGCCAGTGACAACCACTGTCTCCCTAGCACATTCCCTGTTGCCTGCTTGCACTCACAGTGGCTGGTAGAGGACCTGGAGAGCAACAGGTAGAAAAGGCAGTCTCTCCATCAGAGTAGGTGCGGGGCACAGCAGCAGGTCGCTGGCAGGCAGGGGCTGCCTGCTTGTCAAGACAGCTACACAAAAGCCAAGCCCTTGGATCAGGCGGGCACCCTGCATCGCATTAAACTGTCAAGACAGTTGCTGCTGCCTCAGCACACAGAAGGAAATCTCTGCAGCAGGGATGTCTGGGCAGCACAAGCTGCTGCTCACTGGAGAGGGCCACCTCCTGCAGGGGAGGAGGAAATCCATGCCAGACCCTGGTGAGGCCCACGGGGACACTTACCTCAGCTCACATTTGATCTGCACCCAGCCGGGACTGCGCAGGAATGACCAGGGATGGAACCACTTCTCCACGGTCTGCAGGCTTGAGCACAGCACCTCCAGCCACAAATGCAGCACCTGCTCACTGCAGCAATGGGGTGGAGGTGTATTACTAAGCTGAAGGAGGGAAAGAAGCCCCATCCCTTTGGGACAGCCTGCTTTCAGCCCAAGTCTTGACCCCAACCCACAGTCCCAGTGGGACTGGATAACCCAAGTAAACTTGTGTGAGCCACTTCATGCAACAAGAGCTACTTCTTCCAGCCAAGAGTGAGACCAGCATGATGAACAAGGAGTAGATCTCACTCTTTGGCTGCAGTGAGATAAAGACCCTGTGGCCTAAGGTAGATTGAAACAGCTTCTGCCCTTTAGCCCACTCTGCCCCCTCCAGAGCTCCTTGCACCCACCATGCCAACGGTATCAGGACTAGATGACTCACTTGAGTCCAACACAGATGAGGGAACGAAGCTTCACATCCATCTCTGCATGTGCAGCATCGTGTGTCATGTTCACAGCCTGAACCGCCTGCAGGGAGGGAAGATGTGGTTACCACCTCCTCAGCTGAACCTTAGGCTGGGCAGGGCAGCCACTTCAGCAGCACAGCTGCCCACCCTCACCCAGTGCCACCAGCTAGCACCAGGGGAGGCGAGCCCTCCCAGTGGCTTCACTTTGTGCCTTCCCCCCAGCACCTGGAGTCTCTACTCCCTATCAGAGAAGGTCTAGGAGACTCTGGAGCATCTCCCTAGAGATGGGCATTCAGCAGCCTCCATGGGGAACTTCCCCATATTAGGAGCTGGGCTCTGGCTGGGCTGAGGGCAGCACTTACCCGGTAAAGCAGCTCCTCTGGGGTGAGGACTTTGCCATCTTCATCAAGCCTGCAAAGATCACAGCAGAGACCTAGCTAGATCTGAAGCAGATGCTGGCCTTTTTCTTCTGTACCCCAACAGCTTTCTTACTACTGCTAAGCCCACAGGTGATCATGCAGCCATGAAAGAGCAGGATACAGATCCAGAAGCAAACACAGGAGTCCAGAGAAGGGGATGAGAGCCACTGCCTACCGCAAGTCAGCACCCGCACAGCAGCCTGATGATACTACACCCACAGGAGGATGGGGCAGCCCATGAGCCTTCCCAAAGTGGAGAACAGCAGTGGTTTGATGAGCATGCAGGAGCAGGGCACAGACCCAGCTACTTCGTGTGACTAAAGTGGCCTTACCTGTAAGTCTTGCAGAGCACAAGGCGAGAATACACAGAGTCAAAGTCACGTTCCACTTCTCGGCTTGCAGCCTAGTGGAGCGAAGGGACAGTCAGAAAACTCTGCGCTACAGCGCCCTCATCCCAGCCCTCCGGCAACACTGCCCCACAAAGGGAACTGAGACATCTCACCTCTTCAACGAACAGCCAAGGGTGGCAGGGCCCCCCCAGCAGGGATGGCTTCTTCAATCCATGTTCAAGTATGGACTTCAAGGCTGGACAGAGTGTTCCTCGCACCAAGTCCGTCACCCCTTCTGTGACTGAGTCATCTCCAGCGATGGAGTACTGTGGAACATCAAGAAGCAGCTCTCAGCATGTTGCTGAGGGGCAGAGAATGGAGGTGCCACTCACCTACAGCTCCTATGCACAGAGCTCTTCCACTCCAGGTGCCCACCAGCCCCTCCTCCCTTAACCCCTTATGCTCTTGCTGGCTCTGGCATAAGGCACCACATTCAGTGCTAGTCCCTGGATATTTGCTGGGACACCAGGACCTTTGTGCCTATGTGGTGCCCAGGAGACCACACAGGTGACCACAGCACCATCCTGGCAGCATTCAGCATATAGGAACTGTTGTGGTTTGGTGTGATGCTGACTGAGCTAAGGTGAGGGACTTGACTTGCACTGAGGGTCTCTGGGACATTTTAAGACAAGGCAAATGGGGCTACAATAGGTGTTCCCTGGTCAGCTGGTACATCACTTCAAGGTATCACCCTGACACACTGTTCCATGAAAGATATTCCAAAATTAGGATGGGATCCTATTTCCACAGATGGGAGGAGAACTGTTCAACAGTACAGGGTGTGTTTATACACACAGAAGTGATCTGCATCTAAGGAACTAGCCCTGAGAAGCGAGTGAGGTAGCAAGTGAAATGTCAATACTGAACTCTCCAGGGATGTCCCCATGGGATCTCAAGTCACCCTTTAAGCCCTTCTTCACTCTCCAAATGCTGAGGAGAAGGAGGAACAGGGCTTTCTCCGCTTTCCCTGCAAATTGCCTAGGCCAACAGCCAATGATGTTTGCTTCCTATCCAATTATCCTGGTCTTGGGGCCATACTGAAGTATCCATTCTAGACAGGTGGCAAGGAACTGAGACACTGCCCCTTGGGCACAGCTGCTCAGAGAGAATTCACTGCAGTGACCGCAAAGCATGAGCAGGATCCACAGGCACAGCCTCAAAGGAGGAAGGAGGAGAGCACAGGCAGCGGGAAGCCAGCAGAAACACTGCCCACAGGATCCTCCTGCACACCTGCCTGCTGCTTTCTCAGCTTGCCCAAAGTTCATCTCTAGGGCCCTTGCAAGCCCAGGCATCACATTCAGCTACGCCCTGCAGCCCTGTGGGGCCCTCATTCTCCAACCATTCAGCTTGAGGAAGTTGTGCAAAGAGGCTTAGGAAGATAAGTTGCCTGATCACATCACCAAGTGCTCAACAGCCAAAGAGAGCAAACAGACTGAAGGAGGGACACAGACAGCTCTTTTCAACTGTTTTGCATTTATGACTTTACAGGTGGTGTGGTTTTTTTTCATTACCTCTTTACTCCGCTCATCCAAGATCTCCACAAATTTTGCAGGAAACCAACCTGCAAAGAGTGACAAAGAGGTAAGCCTGACACAGACACTGAAAACCCCTACACAGACAAGATCAGAGCCCAGCGGAAGTTGAGAATAAATCAGGGTTCAAACCCAAAGAAGGGTCCAATCCCAAAAGAAAGGTCCATCCCAAAGACATGAGCATCCTGAAAATCACAAGAATTAAGGCAACTGCACGAAGAAGCCAACTATAGGACACTGCCTGCAAGCAGCAGAGATGACATGCACCCAACCACCTTGTGCCAGGAGGATGGAGCCTAAAGTTGCTGTTCGCAAGAAGCAGGCTGGCAGCTGCACGACCGCTCTCATACCCTGCTTTAACCTTTCCCTTGTCCCTGCCAGATGCTCCGGGTAATCAGCAGAGCCTTTGTTACAAACGTGCCAGAGCAGGTGCTGTGGATGAATGGATGCTCTGCATCCAGCCCCACTCTCCCCAGTGAAACCAATCCTGCTCTCACCTCTCAGTCCATTCAGCTCTCCCACCCAACAGTGCTCATCCTTCTGGGAAATGATCTGAAAAACAGGGAGTGGAAAACACTGGTTAAAAAGTGCAGTGCCTGGAGGGCTACAGCTACCTGGCTGTGTGTGCAGAATGAGGAACTGCTTTCTTAGCTGTTTTGTCAATGTTCTGTTCTCACATGGCCCAGGGCCTTCAAGGTCAAAAAGGCGCTGCAAACACTACATTACCCTGTTCTCCCCTGTTTTGGATGGGACACACACAGCTAAAATGCAAATGCATTCTTTTACAGCCTTACCACAGCTCAGTGTGCAGTGTTAAACTGGGACTCAGGCTGGACCAAATCGATCTTCTACTCAGCTGCATGGCAGCCAGGAAAGGGACTTTGTGTTTGCATTGAGAACGAACACAAGCCAACTCTCACAGGGACACACTGCCTCATCCCCTGGCAGCTCCCAGAAACACCAACTGCTTCCCTTGGGCTCCTAACTGGGCTCTAAGCTGATCTCCTCCCTTCTTTCCCTGCAGAAGAGGCAGTGCAGCACCCCAACAGGCCGGTCCTGCCCTGGTCCCTGTCTCAAGGGCTGATGTACCGTGATGATGTCGTTCTTGCGGAAGCCCAGCTCATCGTCGTCGTGTCGCTCAAAGTCCAGCAGTGCCTTGGCTCGCCGGCGGCGGTTGCGGGAACAGGCCACGTAGTTCTCGTGGTCCCGCTGGTGGCTCTCCATGCTGTAGTCTGGAGTCAGATCCTAGCACACGTGTGGGTGAAGAGCAAAGAGGAACGAAAAGCAACAGATGACTCCCAGCTGATGGGCCAAAGCCTGCATGCCCCTCTTCCCAAAGCTTTTCCTGCTCCTAGCTGGAAGACAACCTCCCCACACAGCCTTCCTCCATCAGGGATAGGTTGAGCAACCTTCCCTCTCCACCCATTACACCTGGCATGTTCTTCCTTGAGCCCATGCTCCAGAAGCATGTGAACAGCCTGTGGTGGACACCCAACGCTCATGCCTGGAACGCACAGCAGTGCAGACCCAACTGTTCCCACTCACAATGCTGCAGTTCTTGGGATCCACGCACTGGAAATGCCGTGCCACCTGGAGAATGGCCTCACGCAGGTCAGCCACCAGCTCCGTCTGCTTGATGTTCTTGGCTTTCAGTGCCTCCAGATCATCATCCCCTGGGGGAGCCCACACAGCCAGAGGGAAGGCAAGGAAAGAAACCAAGCATAAGGCATTTATTTTTTTTTGTTAACATTAGAAATCATCAATTCTGTAGAAATCAAAAAAGCCTGACATTAAAAGTGCCTGCACTAAGGCAGGTACTTACTGCCAATCTATAAAATGATGTAAATAGCTTATGCCAATTTGACTGTCTCCAATTTTAAGGAGCTGGTATTTAAAAAAAAAATCTGGAACTGGAAGATGTCATAGAATCATAGAACAGTTTGGGTTGGAAAGGACCATAAGATCATCCAGTCCCAACCCCCCTGCCATGGGCAGGGACACCTCACACTAAACCATGTCACCCAAGGCTCTGTCCAACCTGGCCTTGAACAACACCAAGGATGGAGCATTCACAACTTCCCTGGGCAACCCATTCCAGTGCCTCACCACCCTCACAGTAAAGAACTTCTTCCTTATATCCAATCTAAACTTCCCCTGTTTAAGTTTTAACCCATTACCCCTTGTCCTGTCACTGCAGTCCCTAATGAAGAGCCCCTCTCCAGCATCCTTGTAGGCCCCCTTCAGATACTGGAAGGCTGCTATGAGGTCTCCATGCATAGAGATGTCATCTCTTGTCATCTGGGCAATTCAGTACATCAAGGAGCTGCGTGCTGCGTACCTCCTTTATACTGGGTAGACATTTCTCTATAGGCAGCTGAACGATGGGACACAAAACTTGGGAACTTTCAAAAATTCTCTTCAACTGAAATTGTCTCGAAGCTGAAACACATTTTAATTGAACTGCTTCTGATTTCCGTACACCTCACAGGCTGAGAGCATATTCTTCACTGAGTCTCAAAAAACATGTGAAAAGCCAAAACAGCCCACTTTGCTGAATCAGCCTAGCAGTCAGAGCCACAAGAGAAAAGCTGTCACCTACTTAAGACCTTGACCTCCCTAACAGCCAGATTTCAAAAGGGTTTGGGCATATAGAAATGGTCATGAGTCCAGAGTAAAAATTACCAAAGCATCTTTCAACAGTCACTAATTCCTCCTAGGAGCTTTCACAGCCTACCTCTATCAATTTATGCAGATAGATACCTAATGGGATGGATTCTTTACAGACAGTTGATGTATCTGAATGCCTTGAAAACTGGGTACATGATGTTTGGTACATGATGTTTTGTTTAAACTCAAAAATGTTTTCATACATCTGTTTTTTCTCTCTCTAATATACTGAAGATGTGGTAGCTTGAGTAACAAAATCAACATTTAAACAATGTCTAATTTTGATACAAACACAGCTTTAATGCAAGACCCAAGTAAATCATTGGCTAGCAAATTAGTACTCTGCTTATCCCCTTAACAGCACTGTAGAAACCAATATGAATAGTGTGGCCCAAGCTATACAGCTACTGCAACAGCTATGTACACATGAAGCTTCTGCTTACTGAAAAGTGATTAACGTTATCTTTTAATCACAAGTAATCTTAATTAAATAGACCCAAACTTTAAGAATACAAATAGAAGCCCAAAATTAGATTTAAAATAATTTTTCAGAATTGTTTTCTATTTATTAAATCAAATGACTAGAGAATCAGACGCACAAAACTTAAGAGAAAACAGAACTTTGTTTCTGGACTAGAAAAATTGCAGGGCATTGCAGGCACGGGACTTACTTCCAGTCCAAGCAATGAAAATTAACAAAACCTCCCCCTCAGTGGCCAGGGGTAAGCAACAGAGCCTGTAAGATTCAACAGAGCCTCACTACAGATTCAAAGACTGTAAATACATAGGTGATCACGCAGACAGTGGGGATTTCCAGAAACTGCATGTTGCTAAAACAGACTGTGACTAAAGAAGAAACTACTCAACCACAGCTGCAGTAGCTCCATGGGCTGCCCTCATTTACATAGATCACTGATTCTTCCTGTACTCATTCAGTCCCTTCTGGCCAAAATACTGTGCTCCTCCATCTGTACTAAGGTCAATCCCACCCAAACACGAGCAGGAGATATGGGAAGCAAGTTCCATACCTTCCTACCTCAGAATATACATGACAGAGAAGAAAGGTTTCCTCCAGATTCACCCCACTGCACCTGACACGCCTGCATATACATTTCCAAAACAGGAAACCAGTGTGGGATCAGCAATGTGTGGGGAGGCTCTATTTTGCGTCTGCAGAGACCGATTAGCTGCACAGTTGTGAAGAGGAGGACTAGCTGTCCTGCATTTCCTTGTTGCAGTGACCATCCAACAGGAACAGAGCAAGACTGCACATCATGTTCTCTGCAAACACCTTTCGCTGTTTCTTCTTTCTATTCCTTCATTAGAAATCTGGTCCAACTGCTTGCATATCAGCTAGAGAAAGGGGTGGCCAAACTCATGTAGCATCAGCAAGACTCTGGCCTTGAGCAGGAGAGGTTGCACCACAGGCTCCTAGAGGTCCCTTCCAAACAGTGCTCTGTGATTCTATGACTCCTGTCCAAGTCACTACTAGTATCTGCACTCACTCTAAGAAAGAACAACCAAGTTCTGGGCAAGCTGTTATTCCCACCCAGATGAGGTCTATGTACCAGCTCTACACAGTAACTATCACAGGCAGCAGACTTTACACTTAAGGTTGACGGGTAGTTCTAGTATAAGATGAATTTATCACATCCCAGCTTTCCTTCCCTTCTCTTAGGCTGAAGTTTTCCATTCTGGTTATCTGCTGCAGGATGACAACTTCTCTATTCTAACGAAGATTTTAAATACCAAGAAGAATACTATGTAAAAAACATGACAGTCACTGTTCAGAAACCCCACTAGAATGAGAAAGCACTATCAATCATCTCACTTCTACCACTGATACATTTTGAAGCTTGAATTTAAATTTTATCTTTGCGTGTGGTACAACTCACTATCATCTTCATAAAACTACTCAAACTTGGTCAAGGAGACTATTTGAGATACAAGAAAGATTTATCTGGCAGTTCAGCTCCCTGCTGGTTCAATCATCTGTCCTGGATGTATGATAGCATTACATACAGGAGGCCTGAGATCAAGTTGCACAAGCAACTTCCTTGCATTTCTTCACTTCTGCAGCTTGACTTTACAGCATCGCTGGTCTTCTACCATAACTTTTATATGTAATGCTGTATGTCCTTGTAGCAAGCCTGTGACAATAGATCATGTTCCTGGAGAACATCAGAAAAGCTCTTCTCTGAAAATACCAGTAAGCCCAAGTTTTAGATTTAGTCAGGCTATTTCAACCACAACAGGAACACTATCTGAACCCTGTAAATTCAGTATGGTGTCTTCCTCCGGAAAAAAACATTTCTGTGGTGAAATGTGGCAATTTCAAGAACACTAACCAGTTGCAAGGAAGACGATGACAGTGAGGCCTAAAATAGAAAGGGTTATTATGGAGTCAAAGAAGCAAGTTACTATTAAAACCCATGCAAAACCTATTCTGGCTTTGTGTCTTCTGGATATATGCTGGCTTAGCTCATAAGCAAAGAAAATTAAGCCTCAAAAATGTTCACAACATTGAATTCTCAAGGTAAGTAAGGGGGCACACCAGTGATGTTTGTATTTATAAATTCCAGTGGTGACACACGAGACCATCTTTCCTTGTCTCAGACTTTCAAAGATGCTCCAGAGTAAGACTGGGAAAGAACAGCTTCCAGCCTGTGGACTGCATACAGTCTGCCAGAAAACGCTTTTGACCTGTTGGTCAGTGCAAGAAGGACATCACAGCTGGGCTGAGCTAGTCACCATTCAGGGACTAACCATGCAACCTAAAATTTACTTTCTGAGCTCAGACCAAAGCAAGCACCTAGAAAACTGCATTTCTTCACTCTCATCCTTCAGTTCTGGCTCCCTTCTACCCTCTTTTTCTGCCCCAGTGTTTCCCTGCTTTGCTTGCTCTCTTCCTTCCTAGGCTGCTACACCCATCAACATCACATGACAGGCACAGGATTGTCCTTACCAAAAAGCAGGGAGGTGATGCCAGATTTCCTGCGCTGAGTTCTGCGGCGCACAATCTGAGGGAGAGAGAAAAGAAAGAATGCAGCACGCACAGTAGGACAGATTTCAGAAATAAAATAAAGCAACCCTTCATATTGGGCAGCTTTGGGCAAGGGGTCCAGACAGCTACCACTGGACAGGGGAGGAAAGTGAACTAGCAATTTTAGATAGGAGTTATTCTGGTTCTGACGCAATGAATCACCTCTACTGCTTGACCTGTTCCATGTGCAACAGGTTACTTATAGCTCAACTGTTACAAAAGCATAACTGAAGTTCAAGAATCAACCATGATTCAAGTAAATAACCTAATTGCACTTGTTGCCAAAACCAGGTCCCCATGTAATTATGTAAAAATTTCTAAGTGGATGCCGATTATATTTTGGAATTACAGGAGTACTTTGTGATAAGCACGCAGACGAGCATCAAAAATACATCTCCCACACAGGCTTGACAAACAGAAGCTACATCATCTGTAACGGCAGACTGTAGTCCAAGATTAAAGACAGGTGCATTTTTTATTCAGCTTCTCATGCTGTTTTCTGACTCTGCCTTCCAGAGTTATCTTAGTGTACCAGATTCTTACAAATGGATTAACTCCAGGTCCTACTTTGCTCTGTGTGCTCCAAGCAAATTCTGCCAAAAGCAGTTGGTTCTTTTAGTTTCCATGAATGAAATGCATACATTTCATCAGAACTGTCATTAATGATAACTACAATCAATGTCAACATCCCTTTCACCTGATGATTTATCAACCAGGACAGATCTGACAGCATCTCATTAGTACAGACCTTCCTCCAACTTCCCAATACCTTTTTCCTCTGGATGACAGTTATCCTGGAGCCATAATCCTCTCCTACAGGAGGACTACTTACTCACAAACAGCAACTGGGAGGGAATACATAAGGGAACGTATATGAGCAGCACTCACTTTGGATAAATTGTTGACAGTGGTGCTGGAGTTGAGCAGCTGCCCTTGGTCAGCAATGAGGTAGGCCAAGTGTTTGCGACGCTGAGTCTCCACTGCCACATCTGTCAGGGAGCCAGCCACGCGCATGGCCTCCTGCAGCAGCACATCTGCATCTTCAATCTGACTGGGGATGTCCGAGAGCGTGTTAAAGATTGAGGCAGAGTTCTCAGACTGGATTAGCTCATCCTCCTGCAACGAAACAGTCATTTTGCCACACAGAACAATGAACACTACAGCTATGCTCTTGGGCCTGCTAGATGTGATTTATATTCAGTGTAGAGCTTGGGTATGCGTAACTAGATGTAAAAGTCTAGTTCCATAAAAGACTTGAAAAATTCCATAAAAGAATTCAACAGGAAAAGTTCAAACTATGTCTGGGAGGTGAACAGCACCTTTTAATGCTCTACTGCACTGAGACCTGCCCTCAGAATTTTATCTGGCATGTTTTTGAATCACAGCATTCATCATTTAAAAGAAATCAAATCAGCAAGGAAAGACAAAATCAAAGCTATTCTGCACCCACCACTAGGACTGGGCACAGCGGGATCTAGCTGGGAATAAGAGAATGGAAGCTGCTCAGTCTCACACACTCTAGAGTGCCTACCATGTCCAGCTGTGCTCCACCTTCCCCCTACTCCCAGCGGGCTCACCCTTGCTCTTCAAACAACAAGCTGAACCACAAAATCATTTTTCACATAAAAAGAAAAAGATCATGTGGTTAAATCAGGTAGAGAGGCTAATCATATGTGGTCAGGACAATGCTAATCTCTTGGAGCATTCAACAGTGCCATCAAAAGCTTCCCAGATGACCATAATCTCTGCTTTAAACCTCTGCTCATAGATCATGCAAAATCAGGAGGTGCCTTGGGTTAGCTAAGATGAACCCACAAGTTGGGATCTAAACTGAACAGAAGGGACAGCTAATGGGGTTTAATTATGAGAGAAAACCAGCAATCCCAGATTTCTGCATGGTGCCTTGGAGATTTTTCACAGCCTCCACTTCTGAAGGCAGCAGGAAGTCATCTTCCCTAGCACACTTCCAAACCACATACAGGAAGCAGATACAAAACCTTCTTGCCCTAAAGGACTTTTCTAACTAACTAACTAAAACTCAGGATTAAACATCAAAGTACTATAAAGGAGGAAGAGGAAGTGGAAATTACCTTCATACTGAGCATGCCCAAAGTGAGTTGGAACAGCACCAGAGAGCCCTCATAGAAGAACAGGTCCCAGATACGCAGCAGCAGCTTGATGTGAACGACACTAGCGAAAGAGGTGAGGAACCAGTGCAAGGTGATCAAGGAGAGCTCTGTGAACAGAGGTACAGAAAAGAATCACAACATAAGAAGTCAACCAACCAGTGAACAGGGACTGTCCTAAGTGCTGTCCTCTCAGCTTAAAGATGACCATGCACTGCCTCCAGGGCCAGGAGGTTTGCTCCTGGCTCTGCTTCTCTCTCTTTGTGAAACAAGAACAATAATCTTTGTCTACATGTCACCCTGGCAATAAAAGCTATGGTTTCTAGGGCACACTTTTACCAATATCGTGCTCCTGGAGCAGCTTGTCCAGGCGAGGCAAGTATTGCACAATGAGCTGTCGCAGCACACGCTGGTCTGTCTGTACACCCATCAGGGTGGTGCTGAAGTAGGAGGCAGGAACCAGTTCCTCGATGATAGCACACATCATCCAGAAGGCATCTTCCTCCTCCAAGAAGAGCAGCAGAGAGGCAGCCACCTAGGATTTTGAAAGAAGAAACACATGTCCTAAGAGGAGCAGAACTCCTTCCGCCCTTCCTCATGTGGAGATGGACCAGTGTCTAGGTGACGAACATCCTCCTTCGCAGCAGCTCTCTTGCAGTCTTCACCGAAGGGATTTCTTCTGAGTGTAATGCATGCCCCTCCCTAACAAAGTGGACTGAGTTCCTCCACATCTTTGGATACACAGTGCTACTCCCTTACCGAAGGAAAATATTCCATGTAGAAAGGATTTCCTTTCAACTCATCTGGAGGCCACAGTGTCTGGCAGTATTGCCTCAAATCATTTGCACCAGCGTAGCAACCACAGACAAAACTATCGCTATCACAAAGACACTCTGAAAGCAGGTTACCATGCCAGTGCCCTGGCAATACCCAATCTCTGGGTAGAGCCAGGCAAGTCCACGTAGTATCCTGCGTAGCCGTGGCACACCAATACTGTTCATGTTGGAGAAACAGGCGTTGCTGGGCATTGTGCGTAGCAGGTCCTTTTCAATCTGCCAGACAGTCATAAACAAGGACAGAGTCAGTTTGCAGTATATGAACAACTGCCTTCTGCTCTATGCACTTCCCCACGGCCCCTTGCCTCAGGGAACTCTGCTTCCCCACACCCATCTATATGTCCTTAGGCACCAAAGAAGGTGGCTTGCCCAAGCACCTGGAGTCAGTTTAACAGCCTTCAGTAACATGTGAGACAGAGTGACTTGGTGACTCCCAAGGAATACTTGCCTAAACTCAACCCCTAGTTTCACCACTAAGAATAGCAAGCATAGTAGTTAAGAATTTCATCTGCTTGGATTTCAAGGAAGGCTTTCCAACAAACCTATTCCAGAGAGAAACCAACAACCTGGCTGTATCTGACAGAGGACTTGGAGGTGAACAGCCCTGAGATCTCCCTTAGGCAGTGCTGTTCCTTCTTCCAACCATTTTGAATCTAGCTTCTTGGTGATGTGTGAACATACGCAGAGCAAGATTCAACCATGTATCTCCTCTCAACTGTCCCTGCTTCAGGTGTCAGACCCCTTCCTCCTCACACAGCAAATTTCACTTTCTCCCCACTTCCCTGTGCCCAGTCAGCACTAGGCAGTGTCTTCTACCTGTTTGGCAGCAATGGTTTCATTGTTAGAGCTGTTTTTCACAATATCCCGATATGACATCTCTGAATTCCTCTTCTTGTGCAAGGCTCCAGACAGGCGCATCCACAGCTATAGGAACAGGGTGAACAAAGACAGGAGGAGTCACTAAGTCACTAAGAAAGTCAAAATCTGGCACCCTCTCAACCAAGAGAAAGTGGTCTTGCTCCACTCTCTCTTACTCCAGGCAGGAGAGCCTGCCCAGAACAGGCAGCACCCTCACCTGTGGCCTCATGCTATGTGGGATGCCGGCTAGCACCAGGGAGCGCAGCTTGTCTGAATGAGGTAGGGTGACCTCAATTTTGTCCCAGGTGAGGTCACCCACGTCATGGTTATGTGTGAATTCCAGATGAGCCTGCCACTTGAGCCTCTGTTGTGGCTCCTCTGTCAGTGGGATCCCCAGAAGCTTGCTGGAGTTTGGCTCAGCACCATCTGCCTCAGCAAAGGGAAGGGAAAGAAACGGAAACACGTGAGTGAGGGAAACAGGAGAGGGAATGAACATAGGGCAGGGAGTAGGATGGCCATCCAAAGAAAGCACATTAAAAACATTCACGTCTTCCAGCCTGAGCATGGAAAGGAAAAGATTGGTTTCTGTCTTCTCCATGCAGCAAATTTTATGGTCATAAGCAAAAGGCAGTGAGGCCTTGAGAACTGAAGAAGCTGTCAGCAGGATTCTAGTCCCTACTTAATCATGATTTAGAACAGAGTGTGGCTAGAATTAAACAAGATCCTGGCAGCAGTCATCCTACTGGGTTTTGTAAGGATCTGTAAATCAGGCTGACAAAAGCATAGCAAGCCTCAGAGGTGGCAAGCAGAAGGTATATGCTCATGCAGGTAATGAGGTGAAAAATTTTAACTTTGGGTCTATTGAATCACCAAAATAGCTTTAACAAGAACACTTCCAAATTCACAATGAGAGAGCAACTTAACCTGAGGCTGGCTTTCTAAAATAGATACTTCAGCACAAGTACAGGTTTGACGTAAGGCACTCTGTCCTTCACCATACAACACATCCTGACAATGCAGTCCAGATCTTTCTGCAGATTTTATAATGCACAAGTCAATCAAATGTTATGGCTGAAGAAAATCACTGTGTCCTGTCCTCATCTCCAGGTCATTGCTTCAAAGAAGATCCTCTATGACTCAAGGTGCCTCAGTGCTCACATGCAAGCAACTTCTGCCCTTGCACCGTATGGCCTGAGCCCTAGAAATGTACTCTCAGAGCACATAAAGCCATTCCTATTCTCCCCACTCCTTTCTCTTCCTCTTTGCAAAGGCGGCCAGCTGTTGTAGTTCAATGCCCAGCTGCAATAGCTCTCCCTCTTACTCATGGCACAAGCATAATGGGGTTGGAAATGACTATGCTCCATAGCCTATGCTCCAGACCCCCATTAGACCAGCATGTCCAACACAGTCAGTTACAATGGTAGGATACAGAATGATGTCTACAGATGGGTAGATGAGACTTGGCACAGAATGGTTGAAAAATCACCCTGTCATACTCTGAAGCATGGAAAGGGCTGGACGCAGGACACAATGGAAGGGGAAGGTATGGGACTGGCTTTACCTTCCTTATCAACTCGGAAACCGAATTCATCATAGTGGAACTCTGGCTGCTCGACAGATTCTTCTTTCTAGGAGATGTGAAGAAGGAGAACAGACACTTTAGCTCTGAACAACTGAACAGAGACATTTGGATATTGCCCCATCCCACCACTGTCCACATTGTGCCCTCTGAGTGACTAGACTAGAATTCCTTGCCCTTTTCATTTTCAATGCCTCCCACCACGATTCCCAGCTGGAAGTATGGCAAGTAAGTATGCCATTCCCATTTTGACTTCTCCATGGAAGCTGTGAAGCCCTGCCTTCACACCTGCACAGATTCTCCCAGCAATCCTTCTTCCAGCACCATATTAAGGTCAGAACTTCCCACCTGGAGAGGCATGCAGCGCTCTTCATGGACTGAGAAATCCACACACACCAGCTCAAGCGGTCTCTATTGTCTATGTCTATAATACACAGCAGTCCTGTATGTTACCTCTGCACACACACTGCAAATTCAGCTCCCTGCATTGCTCCATCTCCCGCCTGTTGCTTTCAGATTTTCTCTGAAATATGACAGGCAAAACTGGGATCTGCACCTGTGAAGCAAGCCCAAATTACAGGCCAAAAGAAATTAAAGTCCATGACCCAAATCTCAACTTTCCTCATCTGTGCTCATGGTTGGCATTGCAGGAGGTTACAACCAGGCTTTTTTGTGAAGTGAAAACCTACAGATACCTCCCCTTTTCCGGAAAGCCCCTGCCCCTCCTGTGTGGTCTCCCACAAGCATTACACCTAGGCAGCACCCAAGAAGCATGCTTCTAGCATTGCTCCACAGTAAGCTTTACTCTGCTTTACAGGGCCTAACTGCTTTCAGGAAACACTGCGGGTAAGTTACAAAATTCCATGGCTGCTCCCTTCCTTCCTGCTCTGCCCACCTGGTGACAAGTGTTGAGGCTAGCATTTCCTGCCATGCACAAGCCGTCTTGAGTAGCTTAATGATGACAGAGATTCCCTGAGGGTGTCAACATTTTCAAAGTGGAGCAATAGTTGCAAAACAGCAAGGCAATAATTCACACAAGTTTCTTAGTGCTCTGAAAGATGCTCTTGCAAAAGCCAGGATGAAGCCGCAAAACATGTGAAGTTTAAATAGCAAACAAGCATCCACAACCAACCACTGGAGTAAAAGTGCACCCCTCCCTCCTTTCCCCTGTGGCTTTCAGAGACCATAAGAAATCACCAGGGTCCCAGAGGACACCCCGCTCCCTGCCCCACACTGTACCTGCGTGTATTTTGCCAGGATGTCCTGAGGCCAAATGCTGGGAGTGAGCGCTGAAAAGGGGCCCCCAGCAGGGGGAGTATGATGGCCTAAACAGAAAGAGATCAACACACAACAGTGAAAACCTGGAAAGACTGCCTTGGAAGGCACATACTCAGTAAAGGTTTGTTTCAGCAACGGAAGGACTCACTCGGCAGTTTATCACTACTGCTATCCTAGACATTGAAACAGCTCCCGCTTCACCAGCAAAGTAAGTAAGCAGAAAAATAATTTTTGGGTAATGGTTCCCCTGGCTTGGCATTGATCGTGAAGCTTTTCCAAGCAGTAGAAAGATCATATGATCACAGAATCATAGAACCACAGAATGGTTAGGGTTGAAAGAACTTTAAGATCATCTAGTTCCAACCCTCTTGCCATGGGCAGGGATGCCTCACACTATACCATGTTGCTCAAGGCTCTGTCCAACCTGGCCTTGAACACTGCCAGGGATGGAGCATTTACCATTTCTTTGGACTGGCTGTGCCAGTGCCTCACCACCCTCACAATAAAGAACTTCTTCCTTATATCTAACCTGAACTTCCCCTGGTTTAGTTTAAAGCCATTATCCCTTGTCCTATCATTACAGTCCTGGATGAAGAATTCTTCTCCAGCATGCTTGTAGGTCCCCTTCAGATACTGGAAGACTGCTCCGAGGTCTCCATGCAGCTTCTCTTCTCTGGGCTGAACAGCCCCAACTTCCTCAGCCTGTCTTCATACGGGAGGTGCTCCAGTCCCCTGATCATCCTCGTGGCCTCTTCTGGACTTGTTCCAACAGTTCCATGTCCTTTTTATGTTGAGGATGCCAGAACTGCACACAATACTCCAAGTGAGGTCTCACAAGAGGAGGGTAGAGGGGCAGGATCACCTCCTTCGACCTGCTGGTCACGCTCCTTTTGATGCAGCCCAGGATACCCTTGGCTTTCTGAGCTGCGAGTGCACACTGCAGCCAGCTCATGTTCAGTTTTTCATCAACCAGCACCCCCCAAGTCCTTCTCTGCAGGGCTGCTCTGAATCTCTTCTCTGCCCAACCTGTAGCTGTGCCTGGGATTGCCCTAACCCAGGTGTAGGACCTTGCAATTTGCTTTGTTGAACTTCATGAGGTTGGCATTGGCCATCTCTCAAGCGTGTCAAGGTCCCTCTGGATGGCATTCCTGCCCTCTGGTGTATCAACCAAACCACACAGCTTGGTGTCATCGGCAAACTTGCTGAGGGCACACTCAATCCCACTGTCCATGTCAGCGACAGAGATGTTGAACAGGATCAGCCCCAACACCAACCCCTGAGGGACACCACTTGTTACTGGTCTCCAGCTGGACATTGAGCCACTGACCGTAACTCTCTGCATGCGGCCACCCAGACAGTTCTTTATCCACTGGGTGGTTCACCCATCAAATCCATGTCTCTCCAGTTTAGAGACAAGGATGTTGTGCAGGACAGTGTCGAACGCTTTACATAAGTCCAGGTAGATGTCAACTGCTCTGCCCCTATCCATCAGTTCTGTGGCCCCATCACAGAAGGCCACCAAATTGGTCAAGCAGGATTTCCCCTTAGCGAAGCCAAACACATCATTGCTTTTCATATACCTGAAAATAAACATGATGCCATGGAACTATTTCTCTTTCCTAAAAGTCCCTTTCTTAGAGGGACCATTTGGCCTTTCTGCTTCTTTTGCTCAGTAGTAAGAGATAAAAGCACCTATTTCACCTATACTGTGTCCATTTTTGTCTGCTCACCTGACATTGTGCTAGGTAAGGCTGAGTAGCAGAGGTCGTCAGCAGGTCCAGAAATGCCGTTATCACAGGTCAGATGTCAATATCTTGTTACAAGAAGAAAAAAACAACAACAAACATATTGGTGATGACAGAATTTAGTCGGTATCTAAGCACATGGTGAAGAACAGACACACCCTTCACACACAACTTGCCCACAGGAAAACTAAATCCCTTAGTATTTAAGTTCTCCCACAGGAACTTTAAATTCGAGAGACTGGACTCTTGGTTTCATTCCTACCCATTAGCTTGAAAGAGCACGCTGTCATTCACCAAATTCCTTGTGACAGTAACAGCACTGCTGACTGAAAGAATGTCAAAACCCCAGTCAACTTCCATCACTTTTTCCATTACGTATTGTGAGTCCTGTATTTATTCACCAATACTATAAAACCCATACCATCATTCTCTGAATACACTGTCCAGGGAGAAAGGACTGGAATGGTGAAAAGGGTTTAAGGATTAGCTGCAATAAGATTGAAAGGGATTTTAGGAATGGCATCACAAACCAGGAGCAAAGTGTATTACGCTGTGGAATACAGCTCCCTGAAGGGTGCTGGCAAAACTTCTGAAAATGATTTTCTGTGACTAACTGGGCTGGGATGTGGACAGCATGTTATCGAGTACCTCTGCAATGAGCCAGGCTCCTCTGAACTACATCAGGCAATAGACCTCAGATGATGAAACAGCCTGCATAGCTCCCCTGCTGACTTTCCTGATACCAGTTCACAGCAGAATTTTATAGGAGTTTTCCACAAAAACAGTGGAATGATTTAGTAATCAGAAGGAGAGATTTTGGACTTTAAGACCAACCTTATAACTCCATGTGGGAGCCAGCAGGAGCCACCTCTGTGAAGCAGATAAAGACAGTACTGGGATTTATCAGTCACTTGCGCTTACTTGGAAAAGAACCTAGTTAAAACTTACATTTGCATGACCGGGATGGGTTTTCCAGCTTCCCCATTCCAGTAAAACTACTTAGGACTGCAAATGACTAAAAGAAGGAACCCCAGGGATTCATCCAGCAAGCCCTGTCCAGCTGTTTATAGAGCTCAATAGTACAAGGTGATACTGCCTTTGCATCTCAGTGAGCTTTCCAGTGAGCTCTTGCAGCCTGCAAGTGGCTTGCTACAGCACTCCAAGATAAGCAGCTGTAAAACACTACAAAAGCGTGAAAAGATCTATCTGAGAACACAAACATTAAGGCTTCTTCCTCCCAGATTTGAACAGTTCTCTGCAAGGGAAAGGCTGGCATGGATAAACAGACACTCTGATTTTCTGACACCAGCTCTGAAGGCAAAAAGAAAAACACAGAAAGAAACAAAAAAAAGTTCAGCTTTTATTTCTGAGAAGTAACATTGTCCACACAATGGTCAACTGCTCACCCATGAGTTCTGTAAACGTTTTTCTATACTTCCCATCATCATAGCCCCACTTGTTGTCTTAGCACCAACTCTTCCCTGAGTAGCTTTGGAGACATAAGAATTACAAAATGAGCACCTGCAGCTCATTAGACATTGGAACGCACACAGCATGCACGCCAAGCAGGTAAAACTGCTGACAATACTTATTCCCCTTTCAACATCATTGTGAACATATTTTGATGGGGTATTTTTCAGGCTTATCACCACCCTGCAACCACAGTTGCTCTGCTCCTGAGCCTGCAGTATGTCCTTCTCCCCTGCCTTCTCTCAGCCCAGGTTAACCTTGTTTCTAATGACTTTTATTAGGAATGCAGTCACAGTTTCAGCCATGTTGTATGTCTGCTCATGCTTCTCATTACCTGGGCTCTGAATCTGTCCTCAATGCCTCAAGTTTGTGAGCAGGGATCCCCTCGGTCATTAGCAACCTTCATCGCATCCACAGTCACTGCTGAACCAGCCTGCTAACAGAGGAGCCAGGCCCATGTGTTAGGCACGTAGACGAGAAAACACTCCATAACAAGGGAATTAACCACGGTGCTTGGGAAGCTGGGCAGGAGTGCTGAAGCTACAAGTGCCTCCTCATCCCAGGAGAGATGTAGCAGAGGAAAACACCTTCCTTTGTCCACGTCATCACATGCTGGCCTTTGCCTTGCTGGAAATCACTCCCCTGCCTGCTGCCTGCATTAGAGCATTGAACTTGGTGGGCAGGTTTTTCCTGTCCCTGGTTCCTATAGAAACCTTCCTGTGAGCACACATCTGGGACCGGGCCCAGAGAAAGCCTGAAGCTCACCTTGCTGCTGGCACTGGGGTGTGCAAAAGGGCAGAGTGTCAAGCATGAATCACACCAAGAGAAGGCTCCAGCTGTGGCACAAGGAGGTGGTGCACTGGGGACCACCCATGGAGCGAGATGTCTTCAAGAGAAGATGCCAAGACCACTGTGCCAGCCCTGCAGGTCTCCATCACCCTGCCTTCTGCCCTTTCCCAGCTCTGCTTCCAGTACAGCACCGCAGGAACTGGTGGAACCACAGGTGGAAGAAGGCTCCCTGACACAACCGTGCAACACTCAGTGCAAGCCAAAGAGGAGGATATCTGGCATGTGGGATTGATACAGGAAGTTCTTTCCTTTGACAGATATAAACCTAAAAGAACTCTCAAAATCTCCTAAGCAAGGAGACAGCAAATAACAAAAGGTGTTTCCATGAAGCCTGTGAAATTGCATGCATGAAATTGCCACAGCCTACTTAGCTGTGTTATTTGCACAGTACCTACTTCCGAAATGAACAACAGTAAGGGATACAAAAGAAAAAATAGATCAGATTCAACAAATACTCATGGCAACCTGCAAACCATCAGAACTCTAAAATCAAACCCAGTTTTCACCCAGGAATTGAGAGGCATTTCCCATTTTTAATGGCAACTTGAGCTTCCTGTACAAAGCGATTTTGGTCACACAACAGGGAGTCCTCACACTTTGAAAGAAGTGTATATTTTGTTAAAGTGCAAATGGTACCTGTTATTTGAAGCTTTACCTTTTAAGCTGAGCCTGTAAAACAAATCACACCACCATTGATTCCAGCCTGCTAGAAGACAGCTGTAATGTCAGCGTGCGTCCCTGAAAAAGACGGCTGCGAGCTATTTGAAGTGTTCCAGCTGCAACACCTTTGTTGGAGCTGCAAATACACACATTGAAGGATTATATCCAATTAGTTTCTTTTCCAGTGTAGGTGTCCTTCAGAAATTGATGTTTGCAAAGGAGACCTGCAAATTTACTTCCACTTAGTGATACCGAGCCTTCTCTGGACACACTTGCTCTTCCACACAGCTGTGATATGAGAGATTTCAATTACCTGGCTTTTTGCTAACACCAGATAACAATCTCCTACTGCCTATGTTTTGCTTGCTTGGCCTCTTTTGCCACGTGATCTCCACTTCAACTTGCTGTGGTAGCGCCTGAATGAGCTAGGCATGAAATGACACTGTCCAAAGCCTTTCAGTAGGATCTTTATTTTGAGACAGAAACTCAGGAGCGTTCTTCCCTGCTGCTTTTAGCAACAAAAAAATAAAGAATCCACTAAAAAGCCACCAAAAAGCAACAAATCTCTAGCACACTCTGCAGAAAATTACCATTTTGCAAAGAAATGTTTCTGTATGCTGAAAACATTACAATTAGTACAATATTACAACTATGTAAGAGCAGTCAGTGAACATCATCAGAGGGAGCAGAACAAGCATAACAATTCTTCCTAGAATGATTTTCATCCACTACCATAGGGACAGCATATACAGCACTTCCTTTGACACTGAGCTAGCACAGGGAAAAACTGCTTTCCATTATGCTTAATATGAACATGAAGCAATACTGCACGAAGTAAATCCCACTGCCACCTCTGGCCTGTCAACTGGTTTCCACTGCTCTATTCTCTTCCTTTATTAAATAAAAGTTTTGAAAGAGAGAAAAGCAAAAGCCACAGTACCCATCAAGAGGCCATGAACTTAGGTGTAGTTCTAGAATCCTCTTCCAGCTCAGCTTTTAAAACCCGAGTAGATTGAATCCAATTTAACAACTCCCTCCCTCAAAAATCAGACAAAAATTAGACTGTGCACCAAATCTGACAGTTCATTTCTGTCCTCTCACACTTGAAAAGCTTTGCTTTCCTCATTAAAATCCTGACTTGCTCAATGAAATGCACAAGGGGCATTCTCAGCAGAAAACCCTTCACTTTCCCTTCCCCCACTGGTTTCTCCCTTAGGTCAGGCAAACGCATATCCTGAAGCTGCAAATACCATTAGTCCCACGAGTCAATATTTGCTTTTCACGTATATAGTCAGAAGAAAACTCCAGTTTTACAAACAGGTAGGTAAGCAAACAAACCACAGCCACAAACCTGAACAAGGGGTGCACAAGATGCAGATAACTTCTGCCCCTCACACCCTGACTTTTTAAATGATGCGGAATCCTACACACATACTGACACTCACAAACCTCTGGTTAAGGAGTCAGTACATCGTTGGTGAACCTCGGTCATTACAAGCCACAACCAGCCTTACATTGCTTTGAGTGCTGAGCAACACACTACAAATGCAGGATGGAGGTGCTGAGATAGCCTTCATGCTTGCTTTCTACCACGAGCTGGAATTAAAAGTTGGGGGACTTTAACTGCCCTCAGCCCAGTTTCTCATAGCAGACAAAGTGAATCAGAGATAAAATAACCTACAGAGCCAGGCAGGCAGGCAGGCAGGATGTAGTGTTTGACAGCATCATGTCACTGAGAGACATGTTGCAGAGACATCACTCAGAGACACCCAGTGCTGCCCAGTCACCAAGTGGTATCATATACTCACTGCAGCAGCCTCCTCCCAGCTGCCTAAAGGCACTATTAGAGTGACACACAACAGAGACAAGAAAAAGTAAACTGGACCTCTGTGTCTCCTGCCATAAAGCACCCTGTAGACTCCTGGCTACACTGGAAATGTAATTTCATGCAGAAATGTACTAAAAGGTACTTCCATGCAAGGTATCTGCTCCCTGCACTGATCAGTGTCCAGCAAGTCTGCCTGCTGTAATGACAGAGAGCCCTGCTGGAGCCAAATGTGCTGAACCATTTTCAGTTTATACAAAAGGAACAGAACAAGTAACTTCCAGTTTCATATTCATGTAATCTCAGTTTTGAAAATAAGGATGTGAAAAAGCAGAATCCTGTTTCCTCCTGCACTGGACAGACAGACCACAGATGGACTTCCTGATTGTAGTTCAATGTGTCAAGCTTGCCTCCAAAAAAAAACCCTACACAACACCTACTCATGTAGAATGCAGCTATCCTACATATTAACAGATATTTTCTTCTCAGAGCAGAGCTACCTTCTATTTATCTGGCTCTAAAGCAAAGAACTGATCCTTTGTGCAGGACCCAGCCTGAAAAGACTGAATCTCCTACTTCTAAAATCTGGAGCTAACAAAGGCTTCCCCCATGTGGTCCACGAAAAAAATCAAACCAAACCCAAACCAAACTTATCTATGGCTCTGCTGATACCCTGTGTTGCTAAGACAAGCTACCACACTTTTAGCCTGGAAAGCAGAAGGTGTGCGCCTCCCACCTCACACAGGAGGATGACAACAGGCTGAGCACTGGAACAACAGTTGTCTTTTTTAATCTGCATCGAATGAGGTTGGAGAAAAAGGCCAGGATACAACATAGCAAGGTGTCCACTCTCACTACATAGCAAGATTTCCCTTGAGTCCAACAGAGGGGAAAATAGCCCTGCATGCTAAAAGGCAGGTCTACAACTGCCGTAGTCATCAAGGCTTAGGGTAAAGGCAATTCCACATTAAACACTGCTACACATATATAATTCAAAGGTTTCTGATTAGTGTCTAAGGTAACCCCAAACATCTCTTCCATGAGAGTCAATTTCTGCACAATAAACAGACGCTTTCACCAAAATAAGCATGGTGCAGGACCAGGGGACTTCTGCAGAGCTCTACAGAAACTCATTTTCACCAAAATTCTCCAGAAGTGGTTTTTACCTTCTGATCCACAAACTTCTGCAAGTCTGCAAACCGTTAATGAGATGTCTGTGGAAGGTAATGACAACTGTTCAGTTTCATTTGTTATATAGAAGTTTGAAAGGAAATATTTCTGTTACAGATGCAGGGTTATACCAACCAAAAAAATATTGGAAGGCACTACTGACAGTTATTGAAAGACAGGTATCTTTTATATGACATTCCTATCCTGGGCAGTGACAAGCGGTGCCATCTGAGGTGTTCTCCATCACGTCCAGAGCCAGCCCTGTATGCTCACCCCAGGTGAATGTTTGATTCTCAACCTGGTCTCATCCTACTGTTCCCAGTGACAAAGGAACAACAGCCTGTAGAATGGCTCTTCCTTGACATGGTCTCTGATGGATTTGCAGAGGTATAGCTGTCAAGGTTTGCCATTCCCTTGGTGAGGCACAAGAAAGGTTAGATTCAGGTCACTCTCCCGTAGCTCTGTTGTATTACTATTTGGCCTAGTATTAGCAAAAACCCATCCGATTCACCCAGCAGGACTCTAAGCTAGGGCTCACTTCATTTGTCTCCAGAAAATAGCTTTTTCAGGAGAGTATATCCCACAGCACTCAAGATCCTTCTCTTTCAGAGCTTTGTCTTTCCAATACCCAATGTTTCCAGCACTCAAACTTTCTGAAGAGGCTAAAAGTACCCAAAACACCTCTCAGGACCGTTTGCAAAGCTCTTACCTAGCATGTCACGTTAAGACTACTTAGATCTTGCTCAAGCAGAAATTTATAGGCACAGATAACTCAGAGGAAAAAGCAAAATATATAACAACCATTAACATGGACAACAAACCAACACCCCCTCCAATATTTCCTGTTTCTGGGGATCATGAAGATCTTCTCCAGAATAAAAGGCCCGTCGGGTTATGGATATCTTCTCTCAACTCTGAATCGTCAGGTACTTCCCAGCCAAGAAATACTGCACTGACTGGGCAGTGACAGGAGTTCTCATAGTCATACTACCATTATGCTATCTCCTTTTCTCCTATCTCATAAAACAAAGTGTGCTTTCATTTCTCCTAGCTTTTGTTTTGTTCTGCTACCAATATAACTTGTTGCAGTCCAGTTTAGAAAACAGACGGGCCTTCCTCAGAGACAAAACAAGTGTGGCAGAACAACATCCTCCTCTTCCCTACCTGGTGTCAACAGTACCACAGCTGAGAGCTTTTCCCACAGAAGTGAGATTTTCCTCAACACTCCCAGACACTTACCCTGTGTAAGCTCTATATATCTAAAACCTTAACTGTGTGATGAAAGGTGGCATAGAAAGAAGTTTAAGTAAGTCTTTGTGTTGCTGAGGATACAAACCTGAAGTGCCAACATCTTTCTATCTCTTGAGGGATGTTTGTGGCACTGTACTCACGACAGAATGAAGCTATTTGTCTGCCTCTTCCCACTTGACAACTGTGAAATCTCCACATCCTATCAATAGGATCTAGGATAACCACTGTGATACAGATCACCAACTAGGATCACCACTGAGTTAGACAGAAGAGCTGTATGACCACATACACCAAAACACACATACGCCTCACCATTATCACTGAAGACAAAGTTGCATTACTCCTTAGGTTTTATTTTTTAAAGTTTTCTTTCCTTCTCATGTTTTGATGATAAATTTGCAACTAACAGCCAGGAAGTCAGACACGATCCCAGCCATTTCCAAAACAGTTACAATCTCAAATGCAGTATCACCTGGGAGGGGCAAACTCACCAGTACCTTTGTTAAAGCATCCCGAACACCAAACATGGTAAGCAATTTTGCAACCAACTAAGAATGAGACTGAGACTGGCAGCTCATTTTGTATAGGTCCCTTAACCAATAATCTCTACTGCTATCATGCACCTTGGTAAGTAATGTCGATTTTTGAAAGTTAAATATTTTGATTCCTGCCTGTCTTTTTAGATCACCAAGGTCCTTTAGAACACTGGCATTTGCAAAAGATACCATCTTGCAGAAAAGCAAGCAACAGGTTAAAAGAAGGAAAACCTAAATGACATTTAGCTGAGACCCCAGCATTGAAGAATCATTTCAATCCTGAGCAGTTATGCAGGATTTCCCTCACCTCATTAGCTGATATTAACTCTGTCATCCCCTGACCAGTACACTTCATCCAGAAATATGCCCCTCAGGGATCCCCTTGGCCCTTCATCAGAGGAAAAGTCCCTGTGAATGACACCTTCCTGAGATTACCAAGACAAGACACATTATCGAAACACAGCCATAAACAGGAATTGAGAAAGGTGGCACCTGTTATTTCAATCAATTAAATACAGAATTAACATAACTTTATATTACTAATACACCACCAGGCCCACCCTGACCTCTTTAGTTACATGTCATGCCTCTTCTACCCTTCCTTTGCAAATACTCTGTGAATTCTCCAGGGTAGGAATCCAACCTTTCTTTCTGCATAGGGACCCCCACCACGTGCAGATCCAATATATAATGAAATGGATCTTTTTTTCAGTGACTGTTTATTCCAGGATGCCACTCCAGACCCTGTAGCAGCTGAAAAGCTACTCCAGAATTCAGATTATCCAGCAAGCAACTGTATCCCTATCAACATTTTAGCAAAAGCACAGCAGTGCCCCACTCCTGCTAGGGTGGTAGTTCATTCTCAAGTGATTTTAAGATTCAGCCTCCCTCTACCAAACACCTACTGTTCTTAATTCTGGCAAAACTGCTTCTCTCTCCTATCTATAAGGACTAAAAGATGCTCCATTCCTCAAGGCACTTATATGACTTTATTACCACCACTCACCCCTCAAACAGCACAGCAAGCCATGCAGAGTAAGGCTGAGACATCACGAAGTAGGAAGCTATAACACCACATAACCCTCCCCCCCCCCCCCCCCCCCAAATCTATTCATTTAGAAGGAAAGTACCTGCCCAAATTCAGAAATTAGGAAGGAAACAAAGCAGACACTGAGAAGACATTTCTCCTGTCCCACCTTTACCAGCTTTGCGAAGAGACACCATCTGTCCCGGAGCACATAGCCATGGCCTGCGAAGAGATTTCAATCTGTGCCACAGGGGTTCTTCACTCCTTCTAACTTACATTACCAGATACAAGAAATTACATTTGCCTCCCAACTTGCTTCTAACATTTATTACAGCTGACAATCACAGGGCCTTGCAGTATGTCCATTCATGCCCACTAACTACAGGATACTGCCATGTTTCCATCTCAGTTTCGCGACTGCTACTGCCCCCCCCCTCCCCGCCTGACAGGAAACAGATTGTGCCTCCTCTGGGGCACCTCCGAAAAGACCCTGGCACAGAAGGCAAATAAGGACGGCAGAGCTCGAAGGAGGAGACCAGCGGAGGGTCACAGCCACAGAGAGAACAAGCAACCTACGGGAGCACCCGGGAGCAGGCAGAGGATGCCCGCAGGCACAGGGCGCCCCACCGAGCCTGGCCAACGCACTCCGCACATGAGTCACCCGTCGGAGCCCAGACCCTGCGTCAGCGCCGTGGGGGAGCCAGGCGAAGCCGGCCCAGGGGCTCGGCAGGGGGGCGCCCGCCCTTCATAGCCCCAGCAGCGTTAGTTCCCCCCCGCCCCACCGTGCCCAAGGAGCACCTCAGCGGAGAGGGGAGCGGGGCGGCAGCGGGCGGTGAGTGAGGCGCCTCACAGGTGGTTGAGCCCATTGCCGGGATGCCGGCCGTCGCGGGAGAAGGAGCGGGGCTGAGAGCCGGGAGGACAAGGGGTGGCGGGCCGAGCGCGGCTGCCCGCGGACAGGGACACCGCCCGTCTCGGCTCGGCGACCCCGCCGGCACTCACCTGCTCCCGTCTGCGCCGTGTCCCCCTCCGCGCTGTCCCCACAGCGCAGGCGACCGACCCCGACCCGGCGGCCTCACAAGCCGCTCCGGAGGGCGGCGCGGCGCGCATGCGCGGCATCCGGGCGGCGGCGCGGGGCGCTGTAGGCCGCGGCGGGGCCGGCACTGCACGGTACGCGGCGGGCCCGGGAGCAGCGCTAGGCGCCGGCCCCCGGGCGCGGACGAGGTGCACGAAGCCGAGGGAAGCGCAGGTGGGGTGGCGGCAGTCGGCTCTGCAGCGGCCTCGCAGGAGGCAGGGGCAGTCGTGCCCGCCGCGCTCACTGTTAACGGTGAGTGGGGCGACAGCGACGGGGTGACAAACCTGGACGTGCCTGTAGGATGCTGAGAACCTCCTCAGTTCTTTTCCATCGTTCAGGTCTAGGTTAATACCTAGGTTAATACCAAGGAGAAGGGGAGCTACATCTCTGGCCGGTGCCGCTGCTGGAAAAAAGAGAGTGAGGTTGCAAACCAGGCTCTTCTAAAGAAGAGAGGTCTCCAAAAGGATTTGTGTATTGCGCCACAGGTTTCTAGGAGGGTGACATTTTCCCGTGCATTGCTGTTACGCTTTTTAAACTGCCCAGGAAAACAAGTGCAGTGCCTCACTGGAGCTGGCAGCCTCTACCTTGCATAAAGGTGTATTTCCTGATGATGAGAAAAAGATACGTGAGCTGTTCCTCTTCTCTGCACAGGGTTGTTTTTGTGTTTGTTTGGGTTTTTTTAATCCCACCAAGGCTGAGGAAAGAGGACCAAAAAAGGAGGAATATCCACATTTATCTGTTTTCTTTCTTGGCTACCCGTTTGAGTAATAGTTTGAAAATTCCCAGTGTTCAATTAAGAGTTACCCTTTCCAAACAGATGGCTAATTAAATGTTAATAGCATGAACAGGCAAAATGTTTTAAACACCATAAACCTCACAAACGTGCGAGACATTTTGAATGCTATAGTCGAGAGGTGAGGTAAAGCCAGAGCAATCTAGATGAGAGGACATCATGGTCAATAAGACCAAAGCTCTTGAATTTCTCTAGCATCCAATGAATTCCAACAGTATTATTATTTTTTTTGAATCAGACAAAACTCTCTTACAGTAGGAATGACTTTGACATGCCAGGGTCCACCTGCCATTCAGTGTCAAGCACCTACAGCCAAAGACCTGGAAAAGTAAATCACAATGGCTGTTTCCTAACCCATACCTGTAAATATGATTTTCAGAAGCTACAGAGGCACAGGTATAGTATCAAACCACAAAGGGAGTACTGAATGACCCTAAGTTTGATAAACCAAGTTCCATGGCCTCTCTATTATTCCTAGGTGTTTTTTTCCTATTTGCTCCCCAAATCACAGAACCCTGAAAACCAGGGCAACCTCTTATTGTCTTTGAGGTACCTGGGGAGGAAGTTTCAGAGCAGATAAGTAAGAAAGAAATGGGAGTGGGCTCTGTTCTCCTTACCCCTGCTCTTCAACAAGTCATTCACACATGAATTTCATGCAGCACCTGGCATTGCTTTTTAAACAGCTGTCAGTGCTTTGTAAGGGGCCATTGAAAGGGACTGTGATAAAGTTACCTTGTCACAGTCAAGCGTTTCTCAGTAACTCAGCACACAATAGATGGAGGCTTGATTAAACAGCAGGCAAAGAATGAAAAGCCCATCTAGAATTAAAGTGGCTGTAAGCTCTGGGGGTTAAATGTACTGTAGAGAACCAAAATTACATGACACAGTAAACAGACCTGGTTCAATAAGGCTTTTATTATCTTTCTGTATCCACACACCTTTGCAGAATATATCTAAAGTGCCAGCTCAATTTTCCCACCCATCTTGCTTTGGTATGGAATCAGCACTGGTCGAACCTCCTCCTTCAGGAACTTTGCCACCTGTTCAAGAAAGACAGAGAAAAGAAAATGAGCAAAACAAGTGACCTGCCTTCTCCTCCTCATTCAGCCCTGTTTTTCTCACTAGGGTCTCTTTCATAAAGCCACCTAGCAGTCTGATATGTCCAGGGTCAAAAGTGTGAAGCCCACAGGGAAGAAAGTCAAGAAAGCCAAGGAAAATAAAAGAGGGAAATGTGTCTGCCTTAGTAGTATGCAGAGGTACATAATATGCACATTCTCTGGCATAGAATAGGACACGGCATTAAACAACATGTTGCTGTGTTATAACCAGCAGGACCTGTAGCTTCTTTCCACTACTTGCCTGTTGAGGAGCACGTCCAGTGAAAGAGGAGGGATCCAACAAGCTTTCAAGTTGCTTATGGATAGGGCTGAAGTAAGAATCAGCACAGACACGGTCAATGAAGTCATTATCACCCCCCTCCTGTTTCACAACAGCAGCTGCTTGCTGGGAGAGAACACGAATCTTCTCATGGCAATCCTGTAGGAGCAGGGAGAAGAGGAGGGGGAAAGAAAGAGGTCATTCCATTGCTACCGACAGCACATGTTCATCCCTTGTGCGGGAGGGAGAAACATCAAGAGGTGCTGCACTGGACAGCACATAAATGAGGCACAGCTTGGACTGCAGAGTCTCATAGACCACTATATTAAAACTAGATTTTCTTTATTCTTCCGCATCTGCTTTGTGAGACTAAACCAGTCTGAATGTCACATATGTTCCCTGTTTAATTATGCCACAAAATTATGACACTGGAATCCTTTACACTTTTTCACGTTTCGCAAATCCTCCTAAGTGTCACTATAGGGTTGTTTTTTTTTTTCCAGTTGTAAACAATATAAAACATCTACAGATTTGGAAAAGAGAAAAGAACGTGTCCAAATTAACAAGCAGTAAGACTTATGTAAACCATGGTTTACATTAAGGACAGACTGATGGAAAAAAATCCCACCTCACAGACCTGAAGACTTTAAGACATTCTCTCCCGAAGAACTCTTACATGGCACTAAGACTGGCAAAACCCTTACAATAACTGTTCTGAAAGACTTTGACTTCCTGTGGAATCAATCGCTAAAAACAAGGGAACCAAACTGCAAAATCAGATGCTCCATGATGGCCCTAAAATAGTCATGTGGTTGCATTTACAGCCATATATGAATGTTCTCCTCTTACATATTATCCTTGATCTATCTTCAGTTAAGAGGAAAATAATCCTTTTTCCTGCTTCCAAATGCTATCTTGCTCCAGCACTGACCTGTGTCATGTGAACAGATCTGTCTTCTGAATGTTTAGGGAAGGGTGCTATTCACTAGTGGGGAAAGGAAGTGAGCTTCTGTGCTATGAGGTCGGAAAGCACAGAAAATGTCCTGTTCCAGAGTTCTCAGCACATAAAAATGGAACATATGAACATGAACAACTTTTATAAATGTATTAAACTCTATAGATTTGTAATTAAACAGCACAAGAAAGAAGGCAGGTCAATAATAAACACAAATGAAATTCACTCTTCAATCTAATCAAAAGAGAGAGGACTGTTCAAGTAACTATGGGATAATTTAGAAAGGGAACCAGCTGAAAAGATAATGAAACTTATCCACATGGTGTGACCCTTAATATGTTTAGTTAGAAAGCTTACTGACTGATCCAGTGACAAACATGGGAGACACAGGGGAAAAAAAACCAACCAAACAAAAAATATGTTCCCTGACTAGCATCATGGGTGAGTTGCTACAAGTGTTTCAGAGAACTAGAACCACATATTCTACACAAAGCTTCTAGCAAACACTGCCGCTATTGCTATCTTGCAAGTTTAACCTCTGTCCCTTATGTGGAAATAATCATTAATGGAAAAAATTGCTATCTTAAGGTAAGTGAAAATAAGCTGTTTTATTAAGATGTAAATTTGATTATCAGTTTTAAGTTGAATTATGAAATTAAATGATATGGAAATATAATCTAGTTGTGCCTGGATTTATTTACCAAGGAAAACATTTAATTTCAATTTGCTTGAACACAGAAAAGTGAACGAAGGACCATAAACAAAGTTAATAATAAAAAGCACTATACTGAATTAGGGAAGAGTGTCATGTGAGTGAATGATTTGGAATGGTCTTACTTGATTTTTCGTTAACATCACTGATTCATTCTTTTAATTTATAAGGTAGCCAAGTGCCAACATATTCCATTTAAAGAAGTCTGGCCTGTGTTCCAAGTTCCTTCAAACATTTACAGAAAGAAAATGTCTACTAGTATCTAGTATAAAAATAGGTCTCTTTCTTCTCCAGTACAGCCAGCCAGATTAGCTCAAAGACACAGTGTTCCTAACAGAAAACATGGATCTCCACAATTGCTCTCCTGGTGGCTTTGCAGCACCAGTGTGATATTAAATAACTCTTTGGGAGTAGGTGGAGAACAAAGAAAGGTGAGACAGTCAGGGCAAGAACCCAGATACTTTGGTTTCTCAGGACTCAAATGCCAGGCAGTGAACAAAGGTATTTTGGACTGCATTTGTACCTGACGATTGCCCCCTGCTTTCACCATCGCCATGATTATATTCTCTGTGGCCATAAACGGCAGCTCCTGACGGATCCTCCTCTCAATCACCTTGAACAAAACAAAAATAAAACAGAAATAAGAAACAGCATTATAGAAATTCTGTAGACTGGGACTCCTGGCAAAGTTTTCTTCTCCCTTTCAATCTCCAGGACTTAGCTCTGGAATTCCAGGTATTGAAGCTGATAACACTTAGAAGCTCTATCTTGTAAGGGACGTTACTATGGAAAAGATGTACAATTGTTCACTTTGTGTTTTGTTTTTTTTTTTTTAACCTGTAGGTTAAGTGACAGGACTGTACGAGATCTGTCTTTTGATGCTGAGTTCTACAGATCCGTGTTGTAGCTCAGGGAAAAAATATCCTCTGTGAGAAGTTTTGAATTTACTATCTTTTAGCTTCAGCAAGTACCCTTTGCATGTCTGCCCTGCAAACAGGGAGAGTGTAGCAAGAATAGAGAGCAAAATTCAGAAACTATTTGGACTAACAGATAAAAATGGAATCCTTTGAGTAGAATGATTTTCATACACTTTGGCATAGTTGCAGCCTTATCAAGGCAGCAGCACTGCATACATTATCTCCTCCTTTACCTTTGGATATACCACAAGTCCCTCGGAGATATTCTGCAGTGTACTCAGAATGATGTCAGCTGTGAGGAAAGCCTCAGCCAGACACACGCGCCTATGAAACACACATACCCAGGGCCCCAGTTAGCAAGAAAGGCCATGTTCCAGCCTACCTCAGATCCAGCTCTTCAGTTTCTGTAAATAATTCTCTAAATAGCACTACTGTGGCCTTAAAGCTGGAACTGTTCTCCTTATGGGTGCTGCTTGGTGCTTAAATGTCACAACCAGGAAAACTAAAGAACATCTTATAGCGGTAGCTCTCAAGCTGGGGAGAAAGGAGGGGGGGTTGGTTTGTATTATTACTATTGTTGTTGTTATTATTGTTATTATTGTCAGTAGAGGGAGAGAGAGGAAGAGAAAGGGTGAAGGCACACATATAAAGCTCCAAGATAATTCAGAAATTACACAGGTAGGAAACAGGGAAGAAAGTTAGAGAGCTAGCACACTTGTGAGTATCTTCCTGTGTTCTATCCTTCCCTCCAGGAGTAAGACTGCTGCACACTCATGCTGTGCCTGGCTGTGCCCAGTTGGGAACTTTCATAGCAATCCATGCATTTAGTGGGGGCTTCCTCCAACAGACCAGCTCCTGGTCATAGAGGAGGCTCCTGACAAAAAGAAAAGGAAGGAAAGGAGTAGTGGGGACTGAGCTGTATCAGGCAAAAGGCCCTACGTCACAGTGCAGCAATGACAGCATGATCCATCTGTGATAACAGTGCCATTCACCGGTGATAGCCCATTCTAAACTGTCAGATTTTAAAATATACTAGTACTTGAACCTTGTGTTACATTTAAGTAACAGTTCTATCTCACTGTCTTAAAAAGGATTTTGCTGTTTTGTAGGCTGATGGCATTTTCTCCTTTCAAAACACTGTAGCTTTAACAAGAAAAATCCAAGGCACAGGATTTTTTAATTGGATTATGAAGTAGACAAATGACCCTTTCTATTAGATGAGATGAAAGTAAAATCTGAAGCACCCCACAGCATCTCTCAACACTTGGCAGTGAATGGGAAATAAACACACCATATCAACCAGTATCAAATTTCTTAGGTTGTTTGTTGCTGCCTGTGCAGCTCTTAACAATATTAGCAACTGTGGAGTAAAGTCCTTTTGGAAAAAGATCTTCTATGTTTTCATGACATTTTAGGCAGACGTTATGTTTGCGGAGACATTTTTAAAATAATGTTCTCATCAACAATCTTAACACTGGTTTACAGCCAAAACTGTCGCTCATTCTTCCAAAAGCCCCATACCTTAGGAATCTAAAGACTTCTAAGATTCCAGGAGATCAAATTCTGCAACAAAAGACTACTTTGAAACTAAAACATTTCAAATGTAAATATGAGCTTTATGCAAATATAATACTAAGCAGAAAGTGGAAGCACTGAATTTAATTGCTGCAATTTACTTGACAATACTTACAGATAACTTTTGCTCCTCTAAAAATAGTCATAATGAAGAGTCAGAAAGCAATGTTTGCTGAGCAATAGCTGAAAGATCTGCACAGGTTTTCCTGAAGCATTACTTAAAAATAATGTTTGTGCTCTTTCTTTAGGATCTGAACTTGTTTACTCACTGTTCTTGTAAAGGATAACACTTTCTAAAGAGATTGGAATAAGTTTCTTTAGAGTATTTAGAGGGTTAAGGGTTTACTAATCAAATGTTGCATTGTTCTTTAAGAACTGAAGAAGAGCAGGGTCAAAACTCACATTCAAAGCAGGGCAGAAAATTTGAGAAATGTGAATACTGTTATACTACGCCACTTTTGCTTTTATTAAGCATGGCTTCTGCATCCCTTCCTCTCTCTACTGGTTTACTCTGCAGAGAATCATGACAAGAAAAAAACCCAACAGCTCTAATCTGATCTTGTAGAGGAAACAAGTTTGTAGTCTCTAGAGTCTATTGAGACTGCTTTTCATCAAGATGGTAACTTGTAGTTTTAGTTCAAAAATAGTATTTTTTAAATACATCAAAGGGCCTTCCTGCCCAAGACCTGCAGAAATTGCTGCACTGCATGATCTAAACAAACCTGTTGGCACTGTCATCCAATGTTCGCTCAAACCACTGCACAGAGGCTGTTTGGAGGGGATCCAGCACTAGAGTCATTAGGTGTCGAGCCAGGCTGCAGCAGCGTTCTGAACGCATTGGATTCCTCTTGTAAGGCATAGCACTTGAACCTGTGAAAGGAGAAAGAATGATGGCATCAGGGCGACAGAAGTAGTACACTCGAACTGAAGAGATGAAGGTCCTTCCTCGGAAAAGAAAAATGTGTCAGGAATCGTGTTTTCACTACAGCCTCAAAATACAATTTTGTAAGGACAAGATGGAATAAAGAAAAGTACACCACCATGTTTCTCCCCTTCAGTTTAGAAACACCCAAACGTGGGGAGAAAAGGCGAGAAGACATTTTGCAGTTCTGCAAGACAGAAGAAGTACTACCTCACAAAAAGAACAAATGGCCTTAACTTTTAATGCAGTACTTAGCACCATCTCTCTAGGCTACCCATGGCAATGTTGAAGACCTCATCTGCTCAATAATATTGTTCTTCAAAGTCAGATACTTACACTCTGCCTGTTGAATGGGTATCAAAACCATTCACAGAATGTAGAATGGTTCAATGACTAAGGCTTCATTTGCCAATTCAATCCTATGCAACTATTTAAGGGACCTGAACTTTTTTCCAGCCAAAAGTCAA